GGCTTCAGAAATGGCTTTGGAAGTGGCTTCGGAGAGATGGCTTCACGCTGGTTCCGATTTCGTCACGCTCTAAGGTGTCTTCTGGTTATGGTCATGCGGGAGTTATCGCCTCCTGTCGCATTCGTAGCAGGACGGTCCGAAGCACAGCAGGACTGGATCCGATGAAGAATAGCTTGCCTCCTTTAGCGGGGGTTTTTGGGCTGGGTTGCGAATGGCCAAACTGAAATAAAATGGAGAAGACATGAGGAAAATCACCTGACTGGCATTACTCTGATTTCCCTGTTCGACGATTTTTCTTTTCCCCTGTTCGCCATGTTGCCTTGGAGACCAAAGCCAGTCCCATCGGCTTTGAAGCTCCTCGGACCGTTTTCACGGACAAAAAATGTTTGTGACTCTGTCCGATCTCCAGAGAAAGAAATTCATGCAGATCTTCAAGCCACTTGTAAATTTTGTTCCCATGCATTCCTCCCCCCCCCTCGTATGCTCTCTGACGGCAAGGTCGAACTCCGTCGACCGTGAGAATCGCAGAATCATTCTAACCTTTTGCGGTTCTATGCCAGAAATATTTAGACGATCAAAATTTCGTCTTTCAGTCCCGTGTCGGAAAGGCATCGCTCTGTCAGACCCGTGTCGGACGAGTTTCATTCCACTACAGTTTTCCGGAAATGCAGCTCTTTTATTTTTTCTTTATAGAAATTAATTGAACCTGGTGGTGCCACCACGAGAGGAGCAAGAAAAATGGTCCACAAAGGGTTAAGGAAGAGAGATTTCCTTTTCCTCTTATCTAAGACTTTTCATTTTCACCATGTTCCGAAGCTCCTCGCTTGCTCTCCCACGGCCGATCTTCACCATATCGGCAATCCTAGCAAAGGCTCGTATGCAAGAACTTATCACTTGATAGCCTATTACTTGGTAGCTATCATGATAGGTATCAGGCGATAGGTCTATAGTTTGCTAGGTTCCGTATGCAAGAACAAATAATAGGTATCCATCGTGAGGCTTATCATTATAGGTATTTTCATACCTATTACGATAGGTATAAAATACCTATCATGATAGGTATTCATGAATCTTCCTGATGACAACCTCCTATCCATCGTACTGCGCCCAGAAACAATGCCGTGTGCATCTGCTCACATGACAGACTTGAGTGTTGTGTGATGATTTAATGGTATTAATCTGACCCCGTTTCTTTGGTGTCACACTCCATCTCTGGCACTAATTCACAGTTGAAGCCTTTTTCTAAAGATGCCATGAGCTCCACATGTGGTTGTCGTGGGAGCAGAATGAAAAATGTGTATCTGTCGCTTGCATTTCCTCGCCAGGCGACGGTTTTATCTGATCCAGACTAACTTCTCACCTTCGACGTCCTTTACCTCTTTGACGATATAAACCTTCTACTGTACACGTAATTTTAACTCAAAATGTTGTCATTTGGGAGTTTTCCAACCGAATAGGGCCCACGATGGCAGATGGGAGGGGGTTCGCGAACCGAAACAAAATATCGATCCCGAGATCGATGGCGAATCATTTATTCCCAAACTGGGGCAAGCGTCTCCCATTTTCGGGAAATTATTCTCATGAGGAGATAATGATGAGGAAGATTCATATGCCTTTGATTTTCCCCTCGCTGCAACACATGCTCTCTCTCTTCCGCAAACTTTGCCGAGGACTTCCCATGAGGAGTCAGTGATGGATTCTTGCCTTAAAACAACACTTGACAAGCCAAAACAACAAACACCACATCTGCCTCGTTTCAGTGTCTCCTGAGTTTTTCCTGTTTCGTTTTTTTGTTGTTTTTTGCTCTTAAAGCTTCAGCCTTTATTTCATCGGAACCAAAACTGCCATTTTCAACCTGCAAACACCAAAGAAAAGGTAGAAAACCACAAACACAACAAAGACCTCATAGAAGAGGCCCACGAAATCAAAAACCCTCATTTGAGCTACTTTGGTACCGATGCGAGCAAGCCAAATCTAGCCCCCAAAAAAGGTACTGTGATGAATGCCAGGGATGGTGAAGTGTCATGACCCGCGCTCGTTTCTTTCACGATATGCATATAAAATAGGCCCAGAAAGTCGAAGGTGAACAATGATTCTTCCGTCTGCGGATGACCTGTTGTCACCCCCCCCCCCCCCCCCCCCCCCCCCCCTCCCTCCCTCCTCACCACCCCCGTTCATTCCTCAAAAGATACTTTGATCGATGGGAGATGACAGGAAGAAGGTGGAGCCAGCATGCAGCGCTGAAAAATGTGGATTGCCAGAAGTCTTATTCGTCTTGTCTTCGTCTTCTGGGGTAGGTGTTGAAAATGAGACCGGCTTGGTTCAGAGAAGAATAAGTCAATATAATATTGAGAAAATTGAAACGCTGCATCTGACAACAGGTCATCCTCAGACGGAAGAATCATTGTTCACCTTCGACTTTCTGGGCCTATTTTATATGCATATCGTGAAAGAAACGAGCGCGGGTCATGACACTTCACCATCCCTGGCATTCATCACAGTCTTCTCAGTCCTCTTCAGCTTTATTCGCGTTGTCGCATTCGGAGATGCGCAAGAACTAACTATCCATTCTGAGGTACGCGATATCATCGTCCATTATGACTTCATGACATTATGATACACATCCGAGTGAGAAACCCGGTCTTCCAGGTAGGCTGTGAAACTGGACCCCTCCAAGCTGCTGCCCGGTCAAATGCACACAGATTGATTGTTCGGTCGTCTGTGCGCGGACCCCAGTTCAGTTCCGTGCAGTTGTTTGACACGCTCAGTTGAAAGCACTGGGGGTTTTCTCAATTTTGTCTCCTGCACGGGTTCGTCAAAATCGACCTGAAGACTATTTCGAGATTTCAAGTGAAAATTTATCATAAAGTGCCTCTGATCGACGAAGATCGACTTTTGCACAAAATGATAACTGTCCGTAATATATTTCCTCTATAGAATAGGTAGTCCTTAACGACAGTGGAAGTCACCATTTCAGCACGGTGCACCTCAAGCGTCACACTCTAACCACCGAGATTCCCATAAACGCAAACCTGAAAGGATTTTCTGGATTTTCACCATTCGAGCCTGCTTTCTCGCCCGATCCACGGGTCCCGACTGTCATCTCTCGTGGCATTCACTATCAAAGGGACCTATCGCGAGTTACATTCTTCGGCTGCTGTAGCCGCGTGAATGGAAACCCTGCAACTCAAGAGTGTGGTCACCAAAAGTACCTGGCCATAGCATACGCCGTATTTGCCTATGCCTTAGCCATGACTTAGACTCTTTCGGATTTTACGAGGCGAGAAAGGGTTCGTTTCTTTATGTTGATAATCAGCCTAAATTGTGCGTCCAGTTGACCAGAGGCTGCCATGGGAGCCGATTTTGGCGAGGGGGTAACCTTTATTTTCGTTCACACCTAATAGGATCTCGCCAAAAGACAGTGGCTTCATTGGAAAGCTAAGAGATATGGCATCTACAGAGGAAGGCGTCTGCAGATAATATGTTTCTGGTGAAATGACGAGTCAGAACGTCCTTCTTCCTATGCATGAAAGACTCCTGTTGCCTTCGCAATCTCGCTTTTGTATTACAAGATGATTGCATCTCCATTTCACGATCGATTGCAAGTTTCTTGATTGCATGTCTTTTGGTTATTTTGTTCGAAACTCAGCGGTGGTTTTAACATCATGCTCCACCGCATACCAATGCAAACCCACTGCTGCAAAACGGGGAACCTGTAATTCCGCTCACCAAAGAGCAAGGCTCGCGCCATCTGCTAGAGAAAAGCTCCACTACAATTTGAGGAACGCATGGACTGATGGCAGGAGTTAGCAATAAGTGATCGGATATTCCGAGGCCACATGGCGCTTCCTGTGGAACATGTGTTACCCATGACTCGTGCGGCGAGGTAGACCTATGTGTAGGCTTAGGTCTATGGGCATACTGGTTGCGAAGCTTTGTCAAAAAGCAGTTTGAGACCGATTACATGTATGCTATTGGTGATGGGGCCATCACGAGTCCGTGAGGATTCATGATGGCCCCATCGCTGTCTTCGCCCTTTATGCGCCGCCGGCTATGCGCTTAGAGATCACACTTGTGACAAGGGTGTATTCTTGCAGGTACATTAGGTTTCATTCTGCTAAAAGTGAATAAGTATGTTGGGGTCTCAGATGGATTAAGGACTGAATTTTGAGATTCAGGCAGTATTCTTCAGAATCTTGCAAGATCTGAAGCTTATCAAAAATAATTTTGGGATCGTGCAACGTAAAAGTATAGGGAGTGGCTTTGTTGGAAGGAACTGGACCTACTGCTCGAACAGGTTCATTTGATCACAGAATCAAGCAGACTGGTGACACTGTGATCCAGAACTGCACTGCAAATCATTGCAAGTCACAGAAAGGCCTTTTCTTATGTTATATAGACATGACATGGTAGGGAAAAAAAAATACTAAGAGGAAAGTTTTCTTAATAATACAAAGATCAAGAGGATCAAGTTATGGATAATTAGGATTCTACTGGATATTTATTTATTTATTTATTTTATATTCTACTCTGGCTGGAAGAACTTTAAAGAAAGTGCTATATGTCAGAAACTCTTCTAATGTCCATGGTCTCCTGCCATGTGTGCAAGGGTGAATGTCAGACTTAGCTATCTACTCTGAGAGGATCAAGGAGCCTCTATTAAACCCACCCTGAGTGCTGTCGAAACAATTATTTTCAATGGTTTACTTTCACTCTGCCTGTCAAGTAGTGAACTGACCAAGTGAAACCAAGCCACTTTTCTGCTCCATGATGGTGATGTCTACTCATGCCAAAAGAAGTTGTGCTGCAAATAGGCTATGCTCCATCAACAAAATATACTCAATATGTTGCTTTCTTGTCACCTTTCTTGATTGAACCATTGATGACAAAATGATATTTATGTTAGGACTGGCCATCCAGTCCTTAAATCTTCATGGCCAAATCATTCTCATTTATTTAATTCTTAGCATGATATAGTAAGTGCCTAATTTTTATTTCTCTTGCAGGTTCAAAGCACCTCTCATGTCTAAAGAAACCAATCCAGGATCTACCTATCATGATTTTTGTCCCATTTGTGGTTCAATACTACCCTTGCCCAAAAGCAAAGGGAATATTCAGTGCCAGGTGTGCTCATTTGCCATAGATAGACGAGGTAAGAATATGTAGAAAGTAAGAATGCCTCTTTTTGCATTCCATCTCAGTTTGAACTAAGCCAGCTTGGAGTATCTACAACATCTGCATTGGAGTGAAACTAAGCTTCTCTTTTGCTCCTAGGCCTTCTGTATCAACTTGTTTGATGAGACCTAGGCTACTTTTACCATGTATTTCTGTTTTTCAGTTGAATTCAAGTTCTTTTTAAAAATGAGACCTGTAGCAGCCACCCAAGACTAAGGATGTTTTTCTAGTATAGTTAGAATGGAAGAGGTGCCTGCATGGAACAGACACCATGCCCAAGCATAGTCTTTCAGGCAGGGATGCTCCTTCATGGGTAGGAGACCTTGAGGCAGCTCACAGGTTATCTGGGCTTATGACTGGCATGAGTGATTTTTAAGGCTTCTTGTATCCATATCTTCTAAAAATGGCATGTAGCCCACTGCTATCTAGACTCCATCCCCTACTGCTCAAGCTTGAATTGGAAGCCCATACCTTTTCAACAATTTTTCACTTGACTTAAACAGGCAGACTGAACATACATTGGTTATTTTAGGCATGTAAACCGAAAACTGAAGTCAACTGTCATTTAGTGTCAACTGAAAACTCTTTATTAGTTTGAGCATAAAAGTCCTGTACTTCCTGTATGATGTGGAGTTTAAATTTATGAGATTGATAGACATAGGGCTATTTTTTTGTTTTGCTCCCCTGAATGTAACAATTTTCTCTTGACAGACATACATGGTACCAAGACGACATACACCATCTTTTTCAATGGTCTTCAGAGCCAGGAATCCCAATCTGAGCAGGAGCAGTCTGATGATGGACCTCTGGTTGAGCGTGAATGTAGACAATGTGGTCACAATGAAATGTGTTATGCCACCCTCCAACTACGGTCAGCAGATGAAGGGCAGACTGTATTTTACACTTGTCCAAAGTGTGGGTGAGTATGAGGACCAGAAATAAGTAAAGATATCCTTGAGATGTGGTAGCAATATTGATATAATGCCAAGAGTGCTTTACCCTCTCCAGTAAGTTTTTCATGATAAGAATATAAAAATTTTTATTCCTCTGTGAGATGAGAGGGTGATCTTTTGGTTCCTCTTATGGATACTGATGCAGTGAAAGTCAAATCATATGCTAGTTATCCATTTAATGTCTTACTAGGTACTGCTGTTATTATAGTGTATGTTTCACTGTGTCTCTGACATGACACTCTCTTCAAGACTTTCTAATATAGAAAATTGAAGAAGATAATTTTGAACAAGAAAATGAGGTCTGAACTGAGTAATTGGTTACTGCATTTGCTTGTGTAAAGTATAATATGCACTCCCCACTTTGATTGTCCAAAGTGAGTATTATAAAATCTCCTGCATATAAGGACACACTCATATTTTGAAATAAGGAAGAGGAAACTAGACAAGCAGGCATGGGGTCAGCAAACTTTCAATCCCCAGTCACTGTCCTAACCTTAACTGATGACTTAACCACATTCTAGTCTCACCATATTGGGGCTCTTAGACACTTGTTTCATTTTCAACAAGAATGGGAAAAGTGTGCTGTAATTATGCAGCAGATCTGAGTGATTCAAAAAGCAAAGGAGCTGGGTATCCAGGTCATAAGTATGACATTAAAGAAAGCTGCATTCAGAGGTGGATAAGGAGGAGGCAAAATTTCACTAAGTGTGCAAGAATCTTAAGGCCTTTCAGAGGGGAAAAATAATAATTTCCCAAATTCAAGATGTCAACTCAAATAAAAATGTAAAAAAAAATGTTAATGTGCCTTAAGAGAGTATATGCATTTTGCTCTGCTTTTCTCTAATTGTTGTTGGTCATACATACATATTTTTTTAAGTGGATGCAAATTCCTCAATGTGCACTGTAAAAGTGATGAATTTTTTTTGCCATATGCATGTGACATTGATTTCTGCTTTAATTGCTCTGATTCTTTCACACCCACCTAGTCCCTTGGCACACATGTATAATTTTTTATCAGTAAGAATTTCAAATGACATGTGGCTAGTAATTGGTTGGAGGTATCACTATGCCCTTCTCTTCATCATTTCTCCACCAGAATGATGAGGTCCAGGGAAAATAATTCTTCCAGTTGGGTGTCAGACTGCTCAGCACTTGATGAATGTTTTCCTTTCATGAAAAATTTCTGCTTTCATTTCTTCATTTCTTCAGTAATTCAGTATGTATTATTTAGACTCTTACAAGCAGTGACCCAACTTTTGCCACTTATCCTCTGGCTACAATTTAATTTTTTATTTATTTGTGAACAGCCAAAGCATGCAAGTTACAATTATGAAACTTGGTTGATGTCTGGAGGTTGGGTTTACTCATTAGCACTCTTCAAGTGTCATATCAATTAAAGTTCATATCACTTGCACATTGCACATTATAGAACTAGTCAAGTTCACTTTGAACATTATATGTGACCAGACTTGAGAGGTTAACCTATTGCAGTATGAGTTTTGGTGGTCTGCCAGTGGTTAAATCTGTGAAAGTGAATGTTTTTGCAAGTAGACAAAAAGCTGACATGGGGAATTTGCTTAGAAAAGGATCAGTAAACTATGGAGAGTCTACCTCAAGTATAAAATGGGAAGTGTGTAGAAAATATAGAACAAAAATGTATGTTCTAACACGTTGTAGGGTGATGAGTATTTCCATCCTTGTACTGCAATGGTTTAAGATAGTGTGGCTGGCCTAATGGAGGACTTGTGGGAATTCACTTATGAATTTCATGACTAGGACCACTACATCGGAGAGGGAGAAAAGTATTCATGAGTCGCTTTCTCCTTTTGTCATTCTGATTGGAGCATCTGATGATGGTGTTTGGGATATGTTGAGGCATCTCAAATTGGAAAATATTGACCCAGATATAGATCTTTTTTTGTTCGCTCAGCTGCTGTGTTGTTCTTATTTTAATTGTTCAATTTTTTTTTGCCAGGGTTATGAATTTGACCTGGTTGACCAAAATTTATTCCTTTTCATGGAGGTCTCATGCGCTCAACCAAGGGAGTCAAAGTCATGTAATATATTTCAGCTCATAGGTTATATGTTCTCATGACTTAGGTTAGCAGATCTCTTCATTCACCTTCTGTGCATGTCTGTCCTCTTGCCATTATGCCATAGTCAGCAACTAACCATGACTTAAGTTTCCTCTGATTCTGTCAACCTTTTGGCCATAATTTTTATGTGGACATTTCAAGTCTAATAGATACATACATATATTTATATTTGGTTCAGTTTTCAGGAAAATTCAGTGGTTTTGTGTGCCTCTATTTTATTTTAAAATTAAGGTTTAGTTTTGGTTTGATGCCCTGTTGACACGTCACATGCTCCGTACTTACTACAGCCATGAAGCTTCTGTTAATTTTCTAAGTCTTTTTTTTTTTTTTTAGTGCAAGATGATGTTTTAAGATTAAAAAATGTGTTCCTTTCAATGCAGGTACAAGGAGAATGAGAACTCATGATGGAAGATGATGCATGAACATGAATGAAGATGACTAAGCCACTGGCTTTGTTGGTATACACAATTTTCAAGTATTCCATTCATGAAGAATGTCAGGCCATGAACAAGAACACAAAAAAAATTAAAGCTCATCAATATTGCATGGTGCTAAAGAAATAAAGCCATCACTTCCTCATGTATGGCATTCCACGATGAGTATTCTTCCTTGCATCTGTCAATTTGGTTTTCAGAGTCCTGGATGAAGAACCCATCACATTGAATTCAAGAGGAGTCTTCTTCAGTGCTTCCAACTTTGCTTCCAGAGCAGCTATCTGAGCTTGATGGCTGAAATCCCATGTGTGAAAAAAAAAAAGATTAATTGGAAATGACCTATAGATTGTTATTCAAATAATTTTTATCCAATCTTTTTACATTGTTCACAAGCATGGACAATTAATTAACATAAGTAGTAAAGCCTATTATGAAAGATTATGCTGGCCTAAATTAAAAAAATTGAATGTCATGCACTCAGAGGATACAGTCAGTCAATCTTAAAGATTCTCACCTGGGCCTTGAGCTACGTTTAACACCAGCCAGGGCTGGAATATCCAATGCAGCTTGGAGTCCTGAGGACTTTCCCTAGAATAAAAGATCATGTTCAGTACAGGGTGAACTCAGTGATGAACATGGGAAAGGATTAAAAGGTCTGAAGGTTGGAAAGGTTACTTTTTCATTTCCTCAACATCTCAAAAATACAGTGAAAACTCGTTCGGGAGGATGTTCTTTTTTTTTTTTGTTTTTCTGCTTCTCCCTCCTCCCTCACAGACGCCTGTGGAGAGGATTAAACCTGATAATTAAAACCGAGAAGCTTCGGCTATAAAAAAGCAACCTCAAAAATTCGCTCTGTCTCTCTATCGCTCTCACTCCGAGCCATTCTAGTCATATTCTACTTCCTTTACGCCATTTGTGTGGAATGAGCTNCGACCTCTAAAATTCGCTCCGTCTATCTATCGCTCTCATTCCGAGCCATTCTAGTCATATTCTACTTCCTTTACGCCATTTGTGTGGAATGAGCTCACTCGAGAGGAAATTGAAGACTCTGACGCTCGAAGAGAAGGTACACTTGATTCGGACTGGCGAAGAAGGCCAGCTGAAGAAGAAAGACATCGCAAATAACTTCGGAATTCCTCCCTCTGCTCTCTCTACCGTTATACGCAGGAAAGATAAGGTTTTGAGTGCACATGAAAAGCGCCTATATACAGCAAGTTGCAAGATGAAGACAGCCAAGCATGAGGACGAGGAGTTTACACAGTGCCAGTCGACTTGTTCGAGGCAGTAAGGAAATTGGAGGACTTCTCTATTGCAAGTTCTTTTACAAAGCAAATGAGGATCATTGATTAAATGCCAGAAATGGATGAAAATCGAAAGAGCCCCAGATGAAATGCGTTGCAATAAATGAATTTTACATCTGGAGTTGAAAAGTTTCACTCGAGATGAATAAAAACCAATTATAATGGGAAGGTCGTGAAATCGAATTTTTGATGGCGGAAAAATCGCCCTCTGGTTATGCTCCTTATGCTTTTTTTGGGGTGGGGGGGGGCGATTACTTATAACTCGAACTTCGGATAACTCGAAACGATTTGCCCGGTCCCTAACAGTTCGAGTTAACGAGTTTTCACTGCATACAGACTGCTCATTTTCCAGGTGTAAAGGCAACCGTACTATTGGATGAGACTGCTCATGAATATGAAAATCGTAAAAGCTCAAAATGCTTTCCGGAGCGCTTACAAAGCGGACATCCATGAGCAACTTGACATCGTCTTGAACCAAGACAAGTTTGTTTGTGATTTCTACGCTGGCACAATCGTTCCTTTTGTAGACATATTTAAGGAGATTCCTAACTCTTTTGACGGTCACATAGATTTCCACGTTGATGTGGCAGATGTACTTGAGTGATAGAATTGAGTTGTAAGGCACGATCAAGGCATTGTTGATGGTAACATTCCGGACTTGATAAGAATTTCCATTGTCGAGTCGTTTGTATCGAGGATACCTGGAGGAGAAGTATCATTCTTCTCTCGACCTAAGTATATGACAGACAGAACCTGAGAACGCGTTTCTTTACTGAAACTCCTTTCAGATAAAATACAGTATGCTTTTTCTCGTGTGTGGTTTTCATATGGAAAATGGGTATATTTCTGGCCTGCATTCCATGATTCTATCTGAAAGATGGGGATGAAAAATAAGAAATTGACGGATGTCTACCGATGATAAGATTTCTCCTCCTGGAGTTTGATAGATTTCCTGCGTCAGAAGCCTGTCTTCTAGTTCCCCGATCTTTTGGCGTAGTCGGCTTTCGAGTGATGGAATTGTTGTCTCCTTTATTTCTATGCAGTCCTCAACGCAACTTGCAACTGATATTTCCATGCCATTGCAGTTCTTTTCTATCTCATTCATATGAGGTGTCAACGTAGCAAGATCCTTTCAGATATCTTGAATATGATTTTTTATCTCAGTCTGTGAGGAAGCAATGCTGCTTACTAGAGACACAAGTTTCCCCATGGTGGAGGAGGATGATTCACATGATCCTGCATTGGAGCTACTCTGGCTGTAGTCTGCAATTGTCTTGTCCTTGGACGGTTTCCTTTTTTTCTTATTTCGCATCATAGTTGTTTGTACGGTCTCTAGGTTTTCTTTCACTATGCTCCGTGCACTTTCTGTCTCAAGGTCACCAGGATTTAAAGGGAGACTATCACAGGAATTCCAAGCATCGCATAATGCACTACCTTGGGCACCTGAGTCGTATCGAGTCTTGAAGTAACTTTTTAGGTTGCGTTGACCTCCCTCCATTAATTTTGTCTCGATTTTGGAGCGCTTCATATATTTAGGTCTCCAGTTCATTAGAAACTAATGATAACCATTTCTTCAAACTCCTCTCCCGTATTAGACATCTTTTGCAACTTCGTTCCAACTTTTGGGCTTGCCTTTCAAGGGTGATGAAGTAGGTTGTCCAGAGGGTTGAACTCTTCCCTTCTCACATGTACCCACAATGAATCGCCGTACCCGATGGCCACCTGGGGCAAGGGAGAGCACCATCACTATCTAAGCACCGGCAAAAAACGTCCGTTCGCTTCCATGTCTCAGAAATGATTCCATTTATAATGGATATAATGGATGAATTGGATTGGATTTATAATGGAATGGAAACTCTAATTGAGTCGCCGTATTTGTCTACAAAAATTCATCAAAATTGGCCACCTAGCATCAGATTGACAACTTACCAAAGATTAAATGTTTTTCTTTGCCCACCCTGTATATACACTCAATGTCCACAAAATTAGAGATACCTCACTAGTAGCGTGTTGGACCGCCTTTGGCCCTCAAAACAGCATCAAATCGTCGTGGCATGGATTCCACGAGGTGCGGAAACGTTCTGCAGGTATCCCGGCCCATGCTGCTGGCACAACGTCACTCAGTTGCCACTTGTTTGATGGCAGTACAGGCAAGCCCCGCACAGCCCGTTCCACCTCATCCCAAAGATGTTCTATCGGATTGAGATCAGGGGACTGTGCGGGCCACTGGAGCAAGGTAAACTCCTGGGAATGTTCTTTGAACCAATCCATGACGATTCGGCCCTTGTGGCACGGTGCATCGTCACTGGACCATTGCTAAGTGGAAAAAGGTTGCGTGGTCCCGGTTCCAGTTTCGGAGCATTTAACATGGTGTCCTACGGGGTTCCGCCGGGACCAAGCTTTGAACTTTGAGATAAGCGGAATTTCGACTTATGAGGATTCGAGTTAACGAGTTTTCACTGTACTAGCATACAGAATTGAGTTCATACCTGAAATTCTATCCATTCTGACAGCCATAAAAATCCTGTAGCAAAATGACAAGTCTGCTATCCTGAATTTTTCAGTAGATGAGTTTTATGTTGCTCCTAGACTATGGTAGCTCTCAAAGTTGCCCATGGAGAGTTGCTCTTTGGTCACCCTGCATAAAATAATCTGCATGCATTTTTCATCCAGAATCTCTGTATAGTTTTCATAAATATGAAGAATTTACTTTGATCACTGTAGGATGTAATGTAATTAAACTGAAAAAAAATTGGGACTCTTGAGTACTTCATTATTATATTGAAATGCTCCTCCAAGTTGAGTTTACAACATCAATATTATTCTTCATCTTGGGATAATTATTTTTTGGCATACCTGACTTTTCTCGTTAGCCCAGTCGACCATAATTCGCCTTCCCATGAGAAATGTCCCATTGAGTTGCTGCTTTGCTTTTGAAGCTTCTTCTGGAGTTGCATATGATGCAAAGCAAAATCCACGTGGCTTTCCTGCCTCAGGTCCTGTCTTGTGAAGCATGAAGTCGAAGTGACTCAATTCCCCATAAACTTGCAGCAGTTTCAATATTTGAAATCAGCACATGGGGAAAAAACAAATCAAAGAGACTCAAATGATGGAGCTTGAATAGTATGCTTTACAGGGTGCAAAAAACCACAACAGGTCCTACCTAGGTATACAAACAAATTTCATATCGGGCACAATACTGCTAACTTCTTTATCTCCCAAATACAGGGTGTCCTACATATCTCTGACATTTGTTTTTTTTTTCTTATTAATCAAGAATGGATAATGTATTCAACCTGAAGTTTTGGGAAAAATTTAATAGAAACTTCTGAAATTATGTTCCAATCCCCAGAATTCACAAAGCATTGCTTTTTGTTTGGTAAATAAAATGTTTCCAAATGCCCTCCTTTCTGATTGATGCACTCTCTGCATCAATCAGAAAAGCAAGAAAACCAAAGCGTTGTTCATTACTATCTGCAATGTGTCTCTCACAATAGAGGTGATAATTTTCCTAATTCTATTCTTTAGGTCACCAGCATTCCCTGGATTTGTGGGGTACATATTGTTTTTTTTAGGAAGCACCAGAGAAAAATATCAGGGACTGTGAAGTTTGGGGAAGAAGGAATTTTGATAAATGAATCATTTCATGATTTGGTGCTACCCCATGGTCCCATGATCAGCACACTACCCACACAAAGTTATCACTACCATTGAGAGAAACACATTGCAAGCAGTAATGAATAATGCTTTGGTTTATTGCAGAGAGTGCATCAATCAGAATGGAGGGCAATTGGAAAAATTTTATTTTTCAAACAAAAAGCAATGCTGTGTGAATTCTGGGGGTTGGAACATAATTTCCAAAGTTTCTATTAAATCTTCCCAAAACTTCAGGTTGAATACATTATCCATTCTTGATTAATGAAAAAAAAAATCAATTGTGTCTGAGATACATGGGACACCCTGTATATAACTGGACACACTCATCAGAATCCACTGCTTGGAGCAAAGTACAAAGGTTACTTAGCAGTTGCTTGAATCATGTTAGGCCAACAAAAGCTTAAACAAACACTGAGCCTACTGCAGAAGCTGCATGACATGAATGCTCAAAATGAATTGGTGAATAGATAATTTTAAGATGTCAAAAAACAAGGTCTGTTCTGAATGTGCCAATGGTATACATGCATATGTAACGGATGACTTTTCAAATTGTCCCATGAAGTTAAGATGTGTACTGCTGAAACTAGGAAACTGTCATCACCTTATCCAGAAATATGTTCCCAAACAATTTTGAATTCAGGTAAAGCATATCTATGCAAAATAACTTGAAGGTGGGCCTGTGAGAGCATTCCAATTCCTGCTGGTGTTTTTACAAGTGGATTTGTATGGTTGCAGAATCTTTATGAACTGTTAAATAAGTTTGATGCCTTGGGTCAAGTATTCAGAGAGGTTGTTCTAACTCCCAAAGTGATAGTATGGTGCAAATTCTACCTTAAAAATTGATTCCACACATTTCACTAGCTGATGTTCTAAGTGATGCTATGCAGGGAATGGAATGTTTCCTGGAATAGAGAAGGATGGACTAAATCATGTATGGTATTTAAGACAATCTGAACCTACTACTAAATCCACCCCCCAGATCACATAACTCACAAAAATTCCAAACAGCATTTTCCAAAAAAATTATATCAGTGTCAAAATGCAAGTGGACAGAATGAGAAATTTCCTTATAAATTATATGGATCTTAAATTGATCTATTTAAAAATACATGCAGGATGATAGATTTATCTTCCTTATCCTACTTCTCAGCATTGTGGAGAATCATCACAATGACAAAAATGCACAATAAGTAACAAGTTAGCAAGACTTTTTTGAAAAACCCATTGTGAGCACCTACTGTACATCAGTAGAATTGAATGCATGCTTTTTCTAACTTAAAAAAAATTTTTTTGCTAGAATAGGAGATTCTTGAAGAGTTAAAATATTTGGGCCAGGAAAAGAAGCCCAAGATCATTAATGAGCTCCAGAAAAGATCAGGAACAACCATTTGAAGCACAATGCAGGTAACATGTTTACTTGTATTTAAGAATATCTTGAATATAGGAAGAAAATATTAATCTCTTCCATGAGTCATTTGGACTGATGAGAGCTTCAATTATATCAGTTTAGTTACATACATTCATGCACTGAATATTTATTCCCTTCCTCTCCTAGCAAGGATTCTCAATATGATACTATTTATTTTTTTACAAGAAAAAAAACTAGCAATCACTGAAAACCTGATTTATAAGACCAAGAAACAAATAACACACCAGTGAAGCTCATCAGTCCACACCCAAAACAATACACTAAAATACACCCACTCAAAGACCTTAACTACTTTGTTGTTTTTTTTTTGGGTCAATCTATGTAGCAGGAAATCAGATATCTATATTTTGCAATACTACTGCAGACTGTGAAAGATATCAAAAATAGGCAAAGCTTTTGAATGGAGTACACAGCAACATGAGCCTGATACTAATAGATGTCAGATGACTAGTAGTGGTAGCAACTCACTCGGTAACTCTTGTATCCAAATTCCCAATCCATAACTTTGTGTGAGGTGAGGAGGTAGGTTCTTGGATTGGGTCATTGAAATCCATGCTCTCTAGCTTTTTCTTTTTTGAAGCATTGAAATGTTATCTACATCTCCTCCTTCCTATTCAACAAGACGAGAAATAAGTATGAGTGTGAGAACTCCTACTGATTGCATTAAAGCTTGTTAAAATGTGCCGCAGTAGTATGACCCACTGCAAAACATAACTTATCTTAGGTCTAAGGACATCATAGATTAAATAGTGAATTTCAATCAGAAGGTTTCCAAATGGGCCTACATCTCCACTTTTTTAACTCATACGAGTTAAGAGAATTTCATTCTTTGAGGTCTTCTTTATTAGCTGTTGAGAAGGATGATTATGAGCACCAATGTATAACAAATTGAGCTGATTTCCATATAATATATGAAAACGCTATGGCAGACCAAACTAGTGACAAGGGTATACATACAATTTTCTGTATGGAAAAGTAACAGGGAACTTGAATGAATAGGCAGATGCACTGAGTTAGCAATTGGAACCAAAAAATCCTTTCAGCCAGGCCTAGTCTTCAGTACAAGCGAGCCTTAGCATGTGAGCTTTCGATTCTGTCTCTTTAAGAAAAAACTTTCTCATCCTTTTACAAAGACCAAAATCAAAAAGTCTCCTTGCTTAACACTGACTAAACAAGAACTGCGTATCTTGGGGCATTGTTGTGGAAATGACAGAATCTTGACGAACGTGAGGCCTTCAGAAGCATTTTACCTAATATCGCATGCTCTCTAGAAGCTGAAAATGGGATGTTATTAAACCAAAACCAATTCATGGTTACAGTAAACCATGCTTCAGGTCAAACATCAATGGGGGCGGCCATACTACTATTCGCATTACGCCTACTTTTCTTCACTCAGCTGGAAAAGGTAGAAACAGATGCAATACAACAACACCCAAACAACAAATACGGGGGAAAAAAAAGCTGTGAGACGCATTCGCATACGTATCAAGAGAGCAGCCAAGAAAGTAATGCACTTGCGTATTGGTCCCAGGAGAGCTGCTAAAGAGATCACCCCTCGCCCCCGTTTTTTTTTTTTTTGCCCGTTCCATGTTTCGGAGAGATTCCAAAGGTAAATAGAACCGGGCCTCAAAAATTGTACACAGTACTCTAAATGAAGTCTAATAGTAAACCAGAACAAATAATGCGCGAGCTTTCGATAACGCTAGAATCCCGTTACTTGTAGCTACCCTTCCCCTCAAATAAATGAACATCCATTCAGAGTTGTTTAAACGTTACATTAGCATATTAAATTTGGGTGTAGAGGTGAAAAAAAAACGAAGATACGATCCAACATACATAATCGACGTTCTGTATGCATTATGCATGCAATAGGTTCTCATTGGGAGTATGAGCTTGTTTATCGCCTGGGCTCTATGGTTCTTTCTCGAATATGGGGATAATAAAAGAATGTGTCCGATTTTATAAATTGCTGTAATGAGACTATGAAAACATATGGTGAGGTACTCAACATTTCTGTGGGGGATGATTCCATGGACAGAGGGAAGTGTACTTTTGTGTACTGTGCGAAAAGCGAGATCTATACTTCCATCTAGTGGCCAAGACGGGAACTTCAACATTTCCACACAAAAAAAAAAAACTTTTCCCTGCAACTTGGGCACATTGGATCATCGCATCAATCTGATATTGGATCGATGATGGAATGGCAATATTTGGAAGCCAATATTTAGCCGGTATTGGCAATAATGGCAAGATGTATAGACATGGTGCCCAATGTTAGTCCGGCATTGAGCCAACAACTTTCGTTACTGGGGTGGTAACACTGGATAGGTTCTTGGTCGTTTCTTGGGAAAAAATTTTCCCCCTATTTGGTGATGCATGCTCCATGATACTACCATAAATATTATTCAAAAATGCGATTTAAGAAGGTATCATAGTGTCATACCACTGCAATAATATTCACGCAACGTTGGACTTTGACCTACAACGTCGATGACATTATATAGGGGAATGCTTTAGGGGAACGTTCCCACAACGTTACTATGTTTGCTGGGGCCTGAATGTGGGAGAACTTCAGACCTCCCTTTAAGTAGTGAGATACGAGCAACCCGGGAAATTACAGGCCAGTGAATCTCACGAGCATCCCTGAAAAGATCATGAAATGATCTTTGGTAATGGTGGATCAAATGAATTTATCTTAGAATTTTTCGGAGGGAACTCGCTCTATCAGGAAACACAGAAACACGGCTATAGAAGGCGGAAAAATTGCCACATCAATTTGCTCGAATTCGACGATTGGGTGACGGGTGAGATGGACTGAAGGAATCCTCTGGACGTCGTTTACCTAGATTTCGCGAAGGCTTTCGATGCCAAGGCTAAATTAGAGGCGCACGGGATTCGAGGTAGGATAATTAATCTGGATAAGTAACTGGCTGTCAGGAAGAAAGCAGAGAGAAACTCTAAATTGGGAAGTGTCTGCGTAAGTAGGAGTCGCGAGTGAAATTCTCCAAGGTTCGGTCCTGGGACCGCTTCTATTTGTAGTTTACATTTAGAATTTAGAGCAAAGTCTCACGAGTAAAATCAGCAAATTTGCTGACAATGCGAAAATAGATTTCTCCATCAGGAGGGAGGACAGGACGAGAACCGAGACAGACTTACAGTTTTTGGATGAATGGAGTAAAAAAAAAAAAAAAATGGTTCTTGAAATTCTGAGTGAATTCATCGTCTTCATCATCTGTCAAAATAACGGTAGGTCTCTGAACGCGTTCAGCAAGGATAAGCTGGAGGAGGCAAACTGAGAGAGAGACTTAGGGATCGCAATTGACGAGAAGCTCAAGTTCTCCGCGCAGGCGACAACAGCCAAATGTTATAGGATCTTAGGTTTCATCCGGCATACCAGTGCCACAAAGAGCTCGCGGGTTATTCTTTCTCCTATACTCGAAGCAAGGAACGAAAGTGAAATATGTATCCGAAATGGGCGAGGTGGCGCTGCTGCACCCTTCGACCCTTCCCTCACTCAGCGTGCCATCTCGTTCCGATACTAAAGGTTCACTTTCATCACTACTGTAACTCCATCGTAAAATTGCAGGAAAAGGCTATTTCGTCGCCGCCCCTTCCATTCCGAGATTCTGGATGTGCGAGTTTCCCTCGAGAAATTCTAGGATGTGATCCCTCAGAATGTGTTTCCATTACCTTTCTCAGAATGCTCGTGAGACTCACCGGCCTGTATTTTCCCAGATTGCTCCTATGGGGGATAGATTCTTGAGGATTAGCTCAAAGTTCGCTAATTTTCAAACCCTCATGCAAAATGCTATTTTTGAATATTACTAATACTTCCCGACCGAGTTCCTTGATCACACGAATTGGACTGTCAGCCTACACAAGAACATTGTCTCAACGCTATATTAGTAATAAAGTTTCAATATCCGTCACGTTCAATCAATGCTGCGAGGCTCTTCATTCAATCAAAATTGGCTCAATGTTGAAAGGAGACAGGTATCATTGTCGCTGGAACTTTGAATGTACGCTGTGTTCCTAATGAGAGCATAGTAATCTGTCTGTGGTACAGCATAATTTTACCTGTAAAATGCTTTTGCCATGCTAGACTAAAAGGTCAATTGAATCAACGTTATTCGGACGAGAGAAATCTCTGAGTTGAATGCACAGTTGAAGTTTCTCTACCCTCTGGATCAGAATTTATCCTGTCTTGTTGATCTGAGTAAATTTACAGCAAAATGTATTAGGAATTCCAATGTCATGTCAGCGGGGAAAATAAGAAGTACCGCATGAGAAGTACTGGTAACTTATTTCAGTTACATTTCAGGGTAAATCTCCGAATGGACGATTAAGGCACCATTTCGCTTTTGCATGCAATAATTTTCACAATTGTATCTACCTACGTTGATTCCTAGAATGATTTCAAAATATTGACATCGTGTTGATGTAATATTGACAGAGTGTTGAGCATTCTAACTGGAGCTCAGCAATCATTCAGAGTCCTAGCAATATATTTCTGACATCAAGTCTTTTTCACGTTTTTTTATATCTGGAATTGAATCAACATTAACATGAACATGTCCATGAACATCGCCAACCAGTAATCAACATTGAACCAATTGTGCGGACTAGGACCCCATCGGATATTTAGTTTTCCTATCCTACTTGAGATCTCATCCTCGATGGTCACAATATCCTCGATGCACGCCTTGGTGCCATCTGTCATATCCGGTACGTCATCGGATTGGCTGGCTAAGACGGAATCAAAGGTTTCGTGCAGTATCTCGGCCATGCCTGTTATTTCGCAGCAAATCTTGCCAACAACGCTTGTCAATTTATCTATCCTTATCGTACCGGTTTTTTTTTTTATACCTCGGTCTTTTCAAAGCCGGAATTTAATTCCGCCCTTTTAAAATTTGTCGGTAGAACTTGGAGTATCAGAAAACGAATATTTACAACGAAGCAGAGCCTGGCATGAATGAAATGACTGTATAGGAGGATGCACCGACTCAGGGCCAGATTAAGTGGGGGGGGGGGGGGGGGGGGGGGGGGGGGGGGGGCCCCAGGACTGGGGGGGGGGGGCAAAGGGGGCTGTTGCCCCGGGCCCCATTCTTCTAAGGGGGCCCCCGAAGGAACTTAAAAACGTTAAGTATTTGCGCAAATTGGGTGGGGTAGGTGGGGGGGGGGGGGGAAAGGGGGGGCGGGGGTTGCCCCAAGAATCCACTTGTCCCGGGCCTCGCTGCACCGACTTCACCACATGACGATTGCATCATTTGTTTGGGTAAACTACCTAAGGGCCAGAAGGGCTCGTTGATGTGACACATGTATTGTGTTAGATATACTAGTACAGTATCTAACAATCGTACGATAAAGGTTAAAGACGACTGACGTTGCCGCTGCCGCTGGCATATTAAAAAAAAAAGGAATCATCATTAAATTCAATCACTTTTCGCTCCTCGACAACCAGTTATTCAATTCTGAGAAGCCTTGACGGAGCAATCAGATATCACTTTGGTAGGGGTAATACAGGTAACCAAGTGTGTTCCCCCTCTTGGCAGAGAAGACTTTTCCGTACGGGAAAAGGAGATTTGGCTATCAAAGAATTTGCCACGCCTTCGTCACCTTGAAATTCATTCACATCCTGATATGCGTTTTTTGTTCTTTTTCGTCGGTTTGATGCGTCAGAAATTTCCTCTATTCTGCGTAAGGATGTAATAGAGTGTATATGGGAACTACAGGCAAATAACGATGCACGAGGAGAAATCATGGCGCCTTCCACATGGCAAGCCATCATTAGAAATGTATGGTTTTGGAACTCCCTTCGTACATTTGAGTAAATGGCGTTTGTCCTCCTTAGATGTTAGAGATGGCAACTTCGGTCGGGTAGGAAACTGGAATGCACAGGAGTCGTGTTATTCACGAGCTTTCTCTCATTACTTGAGCATGGTTTTAACTACTCGGACGGCGAACTCCACCCCTCTGAAGAAACCTAACATCGGACCTCCCTGAAATTTCCCTGATTGTATCACCTTATCTCTCCTTCCCCATCTTGTCCCGCACCTCATTATTCTTAATTATATATTCGCGATTCTAAACCCCGACCTTTCCGTCGGGACTCCTTTTGAGAGTGTCCATAGTGCATCATGAGATCACTTCGGCTTTAACCACTCATACCGTTTCCACTGTTTATAGAACAGTGCCACACGTGAGATAACAAACGTGGAGAATTAATTACCTCTACTGCTAAGGTCAATAGCCTTTCCCTCAGTCTTGGGAAAGTGGCATTTAGCCCTGTGTTTGTATCTGTCAGCCAAGAGAAGTGGAAGAAAAAATGCAAATTGACATGGCATATAATGAAATAAAATTCATTTCCATTACCTTGAATACTATTGCTTCAAAAGTTCATATGCAAATGTGATATAAGTAAGATAAGATAAGTCATTGTCATCTGTAGGGGCTTGCAGATATACTGTAAAATTCCTGTCTTGTGGTGTGAATAAAAATGCACTGCAACTCAGTAAATTAATTAAGTTATAAATTTCTACCTCTATCATGGATGAGTCATTCAATTTATTCCTTGAAGTATGTAATTTAAGTTTATTCTACATGATACATTTTATACTTTCTTATAAGTCTTCCCTGTTTCCCATACTGTGATGACTTCACACCTTATTCCCGTGCTTAACAAAGGGCATGAGCCTAGGCTAGTCATTGCATACCTTGTTTACATGCATGTTACAAATGGTATGACCATCCACTTATTCAAGGAGTTGAAGATCAGTCACAAGTATTGCTAAGAGAAGTGCATTTCTCAAGCTTGACTGGAAAGTCAGCAGGCACTCAATGGGCAAAAACTTGACTTAAAGGCATGCAAATAAGCAATATTTCTCTAAGCTTAGGGTAATGCCAACTTAGTGGTGGGAAATTTTCCCTTTTCAGAAAAGCCAGTGGGATGGTGTTCTAAACCATATATATAATGATATTGACCCTTTCAGCCTAGTTGCAGTAGAAATGAAACAGGCTTCTCTTATTCATCTTGCAAGTTCCTCACCAGAAAACTTTGCAAGAGAACATGATAATCTATAGGATGTTTAAGGGCATGAGTCATGGCTTGAGAGTAGTGGCACTTAACAAAACTTGGAATAATTTGATCTTAGGCCTAGGCTCTACCTAACTTCTAAATTACGAGTTTTTATAACTTAGACTTTGTGGCTTCTCCAGGTGATGAGATTATGAAAAAAAAACAACCAAACAGATACAGTCATTGATTCCAGCTGAGGGAGGCCTAAGAATTTTCTTTGGCTTTGTGGGCAATCTTCAAGCAGAAGGGATGCTAAATCTATTCCTGTTATCTTACTTTCCATTGGTGAATTCCACATGATCTTATATTTGATCTTTAGGGTTATAGAGTAAATAGAAAAGACAATGATGTTGCCTTCCAAGAAGAGGGCTTTCTTTTTTCCAGAAGTAGGAAAATAAATATGAGTTGTCTTATCAGTCAGTTGTTATGAATCAGTGGAAAATCACCCAGCTCCTGAATTCAGGATTAACCCTTCCATACCTAATGGTAACATTTGGCAGCACCAACTTTCCATAATTTTCTTGCCTCATCTCTGACATTTTTTCAAATAACAGCTTTATCAATTTTACCACAGTAAGGCAAGTCATTGGGTTAATTCTTGTTAACCATATGTTAATTGCATATTTGGAGGCATCTAGAGCTGATCAAAGAGAGGGAATCTTGAGTTTTTTTTTTTTCTTGGAAGAGTGAGTAATTTCCAGAAATTCTTATCCCAGCTATTTTGTTGAGGTTTTTACAAGTTGCATTTTGGAAAGTAACAGAAATTGAAAAAAATATTTAAGTTTTATTAACACTTAATTTCAGACTCAACCAGAGAGAATTTTGTATTTTTGCAAGGTGAAGAGAGAGGGTTAATATTAAATTGAGAAGTCTTGAACTACTGTAAAAAAAAAAATAAAAAAATAAATTATATATTGATGGGAAGGGCTTGAGCTTGTGAACTCTATTGTCTAATTGGTTTCTTCTGGAAATATTGCTTTCATTAATTTACATGCAGCCAAAGTGTAGCAGCTTTCAATATTGGTCATTGCTTATTACCAGCAATGGTCACTGCTTGTGACCTCCTCATCATGAATTTTGGTGCAACTTGTCCTGGATACAACAGGCAAGGACATTCCATCTCTTTGGGCATTCTTGCACTAAAGACACCTGTTTGGAGTAATGTCTGAAAGAAGGGGATGGTCACAGGTCAAGTTTTGGTGTGGAGTTCTTCTTGATGTGACAAAACACTAAGAACCTCTGATTTTTCCCAATTTTAATTTTTGGGATCTTATTCAATTCCTGATGTGATTGCAAGATAGATACCAAAATTCCAAATTTACTTCCAACAAGTCACTGAGCAAACACTCTCTGGTTGGGTCAGAGATTGGGTATTTAACATTTTTCAATAAATTAAATTTAAATATAATTTCAAAATTTGTTTTTTTTTTTTTAAACATGCACATGTCTCCTGTGCCTCAATTCATCCACAAAATTAAATAGAATACTTTCCCCATGCCTAAAACATAATTCAGGCATGAAAGGGTTAACTGGAGTGCATTGAATTATATTTGCTGTAAAGTTCTCTTGTAGCATACTATGTAGACACAGTTTATCCTTAGTTTTAACCTTAGGCAGGCATCAAATACTGTGACATCGAAATATGTTTTGTACTTTTTTGCATCAGTCAAATGCCCAAGTTGCAAGATAGCCCTGATGATAATACAGTGTCTTATGGGCTATGGCCATACTTGCCGGATCCAGTTTTATTGGAAATTTTTGAACACCTGAGTTTCCGAGACTTGGGGAGAGTTGCTCAAACTTGTCAAGCATGGAGGAATGCTGCAGGTGATGAAGCTGTTTGGAGGAAACGGCTGCAACGTGATTTCCATGTCTCCAAGCGAGTCTCTCTCCCACCAGGTTGGCAAAAAATGTTCAAGGGTCATGTAGACTTACTCATGTCAGGCATCTAAAATTCAACTACAATCCTTCACCAATGAAGTTTTATATTTTTCAAATACCCCAGTTAACTTTGCAGGTTCATGTGATGATGTTGATGAATAGAGATGCAATGACATGGAATTTTATCAGTTATCCAATATGCCAATATTCCACTATTGAGGGAAAAAAAAACCTGATACTGAGGCTTTCTCAACATTCAAGCTCTAATAATTAATTCCAATGAAGACATTCATAAATACATAATTTGTATCATGAAAACCTTCTTGCTTATTGCAGTTTTAGACTAGTGGGAAGTACAGAAAGAAAGAGATCCTCCTATTTCCAATTGGGATATAATAAAAAAGGACAACAATGCTTCTGAAATATTTTTTTTTCACAGAAAATAGAATCACAAATATTCCGATAAGAGAAATGCCATTGAGGAGCAATGGAGGCTTAAGAGCATGGTAAGGCTGCAGGGGGATAGTTCGTTCTGTCAAATTCCCCCCCACCGGGTAATTTTTTTTTTTAAGTTACGCGTACAGAAAAAACAAGCCCCATCCACTTTCGTTCGTGGTCACGTTTCTGCCCCGCACCTGATTCCACCAACTCTCTTATATCTTGCAAATAGGACCTCCCTTAAACGCATCATGTACACTGGATTCTCTTCCCTTCGTCCTTGCTTCATCGCTCAGGCTGCACTAAGTAGACAACGTTCCACTCTGAGAGCGTCATTAAACGAAATTTGGGACAAAGGACTTAAGTCGTTGTTGAGCGATGCTACGTGTATAATATATGATCTTACCCCTTAGCAGAATGGACCAATTTTTTTCAGCTTTACGTAAATTTCTTCAAGATAGTGATCTCTTATGTTTGCCATAATCGTGGGTAGTTGATTCGACATGGGTTCATCTAAGCCTAACTCACCCTCGCTCTTTAGTACAGGAACAGCATGAAGTAATAAGTTTCTTTTTGATGAGGTCCTGGTTTATATGCAATACTCTCCTTTCTCTCTCTCCATTGGTTCTTTTTTTTTTTTAGGGGGGGATATAACATGAGTCACATAAATTGGACCTTTCCCTCATGTTCTTACAAGGCCCGTCGACCCAAACGTGCTGTCTCATACAAGTCCCCCTGAACGGCGCAGTGGGGCAGTAAACTTATCCAGGGCATTAATTTCAGATATTGTTTGTACACTCCTATCACCAAGTTGTTCTTTGGTGTACAGCAAATCATTTGAAAATCCCCTACACGAACTACAGGCCAGACAACTGCCTTCAGCACACTGAGACATAATCGTCGGGAAGGCGAAAGGCTAATTTCCCCCTTTACAATAACAATCATCGCTCAAGGTGGAGCCATTCGTTCCCGCGTGTAGCGTTTGAAGATTCCGCTTCCGAGAATTTCGGAACGATGGCCCCGACAGTCCGCATTCTGTACTTTTACCCCCCTTTCAAGCCACAGGACAATTGTTACATCCATGTGCTTGTAAGTCAAGCTTGCTAAAACTAACTTCGGTGAATATTCATAAAGGCCTGCGAGTGAGGTGACCCGGCGGTTTTTCTGTGTTCCACGCCCTCCCGATTGTTTTAGGAAGAGGACCTTGATCTCTACATTCACACTCTGGTAGTCTTCCAGTCTCCTCCCTCACGCGGGAGAGGCGCGCGTCTTGAGCATGGGCCTTAGGTCTAACGTTAGGCGTAATTCATCCAGGAGGAGGTTAAGTACATGGCGAACGTGCGAAACACGGGAGGGAGGAGTGACATAACAAACATAGTCCGGCCACTTAGGGGAGACTGTAACCCTTTGCACAAACACCGGGAACAGCATGTGGAGACACTTGAACGCCTACGAGGGATGCGGCCTCACGTCGCGTCCATCCTGCTTCCACTCACAAAGGAAAAGTAATACTTTTCGTATGCCTTCTTGTTTGATTAAAAAAAAAAAAACCTTCAGGCATGCCCTACCTTCCTGAGAAAAACGAGTGAGTATCCATCACTCGCTCTACATGCTTAGCGTTTGGCATCATCCATGTAACAATTGACATAACTATGAGATGAGATGCGTTTTGGTTCAGGTCATGAATGAAACACAAAACACCAGGTCCAGCAAGGCACTCTCAATCCTTAATCTGGCCCCACAGAAATCCATGTTACTTGCTTCCCCTTTGATTCTCTAGTTCCATTCCAAAAAATAGAAAATAAACTTCCAAACCACATTGAAGAAATTACTTTCATTCCTGTCATTTCACTTGTGCCTCATTTTGGTCTTGAATATGTCAGGCTGTACAGCTTAAAATGAAAATGTGAAATTGTCAATATTAGGTGCAAGAAAATTTCCTCATATATCCATTATTCCACTGTGAGCTGAGAGTGGCATCAGCAGTAGAAACCCACACAGGAAGGCATTAAAGATTGTCAGACTTCACTCTCCTGTCACACATTGTGCTTCTCATTGTACTCTCAGGGTGTTACTGATTTTCAAGAATAAGGGAAAGGTGCAGATTTTTATCTTACACATAATCTCTCCAATGTTAGGTCTCTGGCATCATTAATCGTTAAACCATGCTGTGGGGCAATTTTGCACTTCCAATTCCTGGAATGAAGGTAACTTTTTCCATTGTGTGAGCATTGCAACCAGCTCCCATATAATTTCCTTTGAGGTTGCCTGTCTGTGTGAGGATGCATGGCCCAGTGGTTGAATTCCTTCTATCTTTCTATAGAGGGTTGAGCTTACAAATTATTCCAGGGTAAGGAGATAATAGATTTTTCTTAAATTTCTCATTTGTGTTTTGGAATGAAAATTAGTCTCAAATTAAGAAAATACCTTGGATGCAAAACTCAAGAAATATTTAGAGGAACAACTCATGGAGTTAGCTTTGCTAACAGATCATAACAATAGGACCAGTAATACTGCTAGCAAAGAAGAGGCCATTTTACAAAGTAAGTAATATATCTGAATGTTCAAAGTTATATGATTGAGTACAAGAATCTTATTCTCCCTTTTTGTAAACTCATCTTTTTGGTCCAAATTTTTATAATTAATGGGAATAATATACAGTGTATTAATAGTTTTGTATGCTTTCTGTACTATATCATACAACTGCTACATCTGTAACTGCTTGTGATTTTATAAAATGGGTACATAATTATTAGACATAATGTATTTGTCAGGGCTGCCTGGTTTCTTTAAAATGTGAATGCCATGATTTCTGCTGGGACCAAATGGAAACCATATATCACGTGTCCTTTTTTTCACCTTAGCAAAATAGTAATTGATGACCAGTAATTGAACAGTAATTGACTTAATGAAGTATTTGTGGGCATTTGAAGAGCATTATGTGTGATATCAGTAAGTATAGATGAAGATAACTAAAAGCTTGGAGGGAAAGTTATGGTCTTCAGGAAAAAAAAACAAAACTGGAGTAAACTCTGGTCCTTGTTTCTTTTTTAGTGTCCAATCTGTGAGTAAAGCCCAGAAAATATAACCCCCCCCCCCCCCCAAAAGGCAGGTACATGGCCAGTCATCAAATGAAAATGTAACAGAAACTTAGTTTAATTTGCATGTTTTAGATTTAAAATTGGGTTTTTCTGTTGTTGCACAGCAACCTTGCAAAGCTGGATAATAGGAACCTATAGACACCAAAATCAATAAAACAGTCAGTCAGGTAGGCAAACTTGAAGGCATTACATCTGGAAGGATGGCCATCTTCTGTTACTTGGAAAGTGACTTGTGGGAGGTTGAGTATGAGTAAACCTTTGTATTGGTTGCAAGTTGTCAGAAGGTCAATTTAATAGAGAAATAGACTCGAGTTTCTAGATTTTGACTATTCTCTGTGGCACTTGGTGGTCCTATTGATGGCCACCCAGCTCAGAATTTTGATTATCTACCTATTAAGAGCTTCTGTATCAATTGAGCAATAATTAATGCAAAACCTTTTTTATTTTCTTAGTATTTAAAAAAAATATTATTCAATTGTAATTTGAAGTCCTTGAAAAATTATTCAAATTTTCTGAAACTTTGACTGTGGATTGAGTGTTAAATATGCCATTACAGTATTCATATAGGTCACATCCCAAGACTTCCCAAAGCAAAAGTCTCTCCATGTTGACCCATGAAGGATCTTTATGCCTATATAATGCTCTAGTTCAGAAGTGCTACCAGGGGCCTTACCTAGAAGCACACCTTTATGTGCAATGAGGCAAAATTTTGTTTAGGCAATTCAAAGGTGCATTGTTATTCCTGTCCTTTTCTAGGGGCAAGGTCATGGAAAAAAGAGTACAAGAGATTATTCTACAATGTACCAATTGTGGAAACTGAGATGCTGTCAGAACATTGCCATCAAGTACTCCATGTGAGCTTTTCACATGATGGGAAACTCTTCGCAACATGTTCAAAAGATGGATCCGTTTTGGTGAGTAGCAGAACAACTTGAATTTCCATCATGTACAACTAATGCATTTCTCTCCTATTTCTTTAGCACTTAAAGGAGGCTCTTTGATTTTTAATGTACTTTATGCTATGTGTTTATTTCTAACTTGACATGCCCTATGTAGCATTTGAATGAAATTCAGCAGCTTTTTCAATTATCGGGCTGCTATTATCCTACCCCTTAATGAATATATTGAAGAGTAAATCAACCCATGAGTTCATCACCAATATCCACCTGTTTATGGTGTAGGTTTGGGGAGCTTCATATCCATCTCGCATCAGATATCACAAGGACATGAGGCAGTATGGCTGGAAGTACACTCAATTTTCTCAGTTCAATGAGAATGACACTTTGTTGCTTGTTTCGGGTGTTCAGAGCTCTGAAAACACCACAGGCGAGATAGCAATATTCTCTCTTGAAGGTATGTTCAATTGTACTCACAAAGTCCATGAATTCCTTCCCTCATCCAGGACTTGATGGGTTGTGTTTCAGGTGTAGATATTTAGCTGAAATGAAGTGTAATTTTACCTATACTTGTGCAGTATAAATTGTGCACCTCATGTGTCATAAAGTCACATTTACTAAAAACAAGTGTTCTGTGTTGCAGGGAGCCTTCAATTGCAGTGTCGTGTGGAGAACCGTCCTTATGATGTTTTTGGTACTTGGTACAGTGAAGAGTTCTTCATTTCTGGCGATCTGAAAGCATTGGCTCAATTGGTGACAGCCTCAATTTTATGGCTGACCAAAGCATCTCAGGTGCTTTATAATTATGATATTGGTTTTTGGGATTTATAATTATGAAATTTGTCTTTGGGTTTCTGAAGCCTGAATCCTGAAAGTGTGTCCACTTTATGAAAAATTGACTTATAAATTGAATTTCAACAAGTAAGCTCAAAGCTGTTGGCTGCAAGTGTACTTTGTATCAGTCCACCCTTAAATGGAAATTATCAGGAAGTTTCTTGGCTCATGAGAGATCTGTTCAAATGAAGTCTCAAAAAGCACCATCAAATTGTGTTGTGGTTCTGAAACTGTATAAAAGGGGTTCCAAAAAATTAAGAGAGGAAATAAAAGGGCAAGTTACTAAATCTATCAGGTGAGTAACTGTTATCATTCTATTCCTTGAAACCTGAAGTGGTGACTTGTTGAAGTCATTAATTGAGGAAGTCAGTGATATGACATGAAAAACCTTCATAAAAGTTACTACAATGAAATTAGGAACATTTTCAAATATTTGAAAGCCTTTACGAAATAAGTATGTTTCTTTGATAAATACTTGTTGGATGATGATCTTCACTTTTTTTTTCATTTTTCCTTCATTTGAAAGGCTGTGGCTAAATTATTAAACTTATTGCATTTCTTTTAAATCTATCTGGGCAAGGTATTTTCATAACGTAAGCAGGCTAGGAGAGTCTAATGAACGCTTCCTTACTTTTAAATTATCAACCTGTATTCATTTGACTGTGCCATTTGCAATCATCTCACATTAGCATAAGAACAATTCCACAAGTCAAAAATTAAGAAACTACTTCATTAAAAAATTGATTACTGTGACAATTAGAAGTAGTATATTTTGCCATACCATGCAATGTGTTGGCTTAAGTTTCTGAGATTTTCATCCACCTCTTCATTGTCTAGGATTTTTTAAAATTATCATTTCCTGTGACATTCAAGATCTCACTGCAATCTCTAAGGGAACAGAAGCAGAAATAGGAATCTTATAACAAAGAAATAAGTTCCAAATCATAGACTCATTTTGAAATCAATTTAGAAAAGAGTGTGTTTTACCAGCTCCTTCACTACAGGATACCTGAAGGGAATACTCAGAGTTGGGTATCAGCAGTGGGGAAAAACTACTGAAGAAAAAAGTGATGATTGGATACAATTCCCAATAATTTTGCATGTGTACATCTAGTGGCATACCTTGGCCCAAGAGTCAGGAGGAGAGGGGGGCAGGGCAGCAGAGTGGGGGCACCAAACCCTACTCGAAAGATATCAGGGGAGAAAAATATTACCTCTAAGGGGATGCCAGGGTGGGGTCCAGGGAGGGGGGTGAAGCAGCCAGCACTCCTCTCCTCCCCCCAACCCCCTGGAATATATGCCCCTGCTGCGTACATCTTACCAAATTATCTCAGGTTGCATGAAACAGTGAGAAAATCACTTATATTAGCAAGGCTACTCAAACTGGTGCACAATCAAGCACTGCAAGCAGGCTTCACCAGTGTAGAGATATTAGTCAATACAGAGATATGGAAGAAGATTTTTCTGAGTATTCCAAAACAGAGCAGTCTTCCCAGCATAACTTTGTTGTAGCTAGATAATGTAGCAAAATGGTTGTGAGTGGGTGCTGGCAAGAATGAAGAGCCATTGCGAAATGCATACGTAAAATCCAATGAGTCCAGCAGATTCCTCTTGCCTGTTTATGTCAGGAGAGTGTTTAAGAATTTTTGCATGTGCAAAAAAAATTTCCAAAAACTTGGACATAACATATTGTCTCTCAGCAACTAAGAAACACATTAAATTAAACATGTTTCCCAATATAAATCGAAATAAGGCATAAAATGTAAGTCAATAAGTCCAATGGATGAGGGTTAATATCTTCCCAAATCTATTTCAGGAAATTGATTCTGAACACAAGGCAGTCATGAATCGCCTCTTCCATTTCCGCAATAAGAATGGATCTACCATCCGGACTGTTATGATTGCAAAATGTCTTGGAAGTGAAAAAGATATCCAGAAGTCATATGGAGATGGCACCTCTGGGAATTCACAGAAACATTTGCCCAGCACTCAGAAAAAATCTTCTGAAGTGTTATTCTTGTTGGAAAATTCCTCACAAGCAACTGCTCTGAGAGGTAAAGCTCCAGAAGCATCAGCACAATCACAAGAGGAGGATGTAGGTGTTGCAGATGCTGCATCCATCAACTACACTCAAGGTACACATATGGCATGTTGCCTTATTTCCACCAGTTCCATGAGGTTTTCTTTGACACCTGTCATATTTCTCATAATGTCTGCAGAATATAGGAATGCTCAAATATTGAGCATCCTTAGGTCTCAGGGAGTGCATTGGATCAACACTAGTGAGCCTGATCCGAACTTCAAGGCCTTGGACCCTAGAGAAAAGTATCTCATTTATACAACTGGATCAAAGACATACACTCCTCATCAAATTGGTTTGTGATAACCATTCATACCAAGGATGTGCAAGTCATGTTTTGATATACTGAGTGGCCCAAAAAAAGTGTCCTGTTTGACACTTTATAAAACCTGCTGTGGATGACCTAGGTTCATGATGTTTTTGTATCACATTGGAAACAATAAAGTTTGCATCCTGAAAGTTTCATTACTAGGTTGTTTGAATAAAAATCAACAGTCATTCAGAGTGGAGTCAAAATCTTACCTTTTCCTCACATGAGGTGGATTGAGTTTCAGCACAGCTTGAATGATTTCTCTCACCTGACACCATGAAGACTGTTTTTCACCTCATGTCCTTGTCATAGTATTCGACATGTCATAGTATAGTACTACTGTTGTAAATTGTAGCATCAGAATCATTACTACGCAGAATAGAATGATGAGAACTGGCATTAAAAAATGCCTTCATGGTGTCAAGGAAAATAAATAATTCGAGCAGTGCTGACAATCCATCCACCTTATGTGTGGAAGAGGTAAATTTATTGCACCAATTTGAATGACTGTCAATTTTTATTCAGACAACCTAGGTATGTGAAACTTTCAGAAAACAAATTTTTTAAATGTTTCCATGATACAAAAATATATTGAACCTAGGCCATTCACAGGTTTCTAAAGCGTTAAACAGGATGCTTTTTTTGGGCCACCCAGTCTATTTTGAATTGTGGCCTTTACTTGTAAGTTTAAGATAGAATTGATGCCCAGGTGGATGGTGTACCTCTGGGAAAAGCCACTAGGTGAATACTGCAATGTCTGCATAACATTACCCACTGTAGTTTCTTGTGATTTTTCATGTAGGTTTGAAGCGGATCAAGCCATTTGCTTTTGTGGACCGCTTTGATGTTGGAGAAACCTTACGAGAGAGGGTTGCTGAAAAGAAAGAAAGAGAACGACTGCAAGCAGCTGCAGAAGCTGAGGCTGATCCACCTTTGCCAAGCTGGCTGGATTCTTGTCCTTACCTGTTCCATGAGCCAGATCACATGATAGATTTTCATGGTCATATAATTGGGATGGCTCTCTCACCAGATCACAGGTAGGAGGACCTTTTCTGCAGATGAGGTAGATGGAGTTTCCATACTGCACAAATGATTTTCTGATTTTGACACCATAAAAGCTGTTTTTCATGCCATGTGCTCATTGTAGTATTCTATGGAGTATTGATTCTGATATAATGATGTATGAAAGCACAAAAAGCAGCCTTTATTGTGTCAAAAGAGGGAAGTCATTTGAGCATTACTGAAACTCCATCTTCCTTATGCCTGGAAAAGGTACATTTTATAACTCCACTTTGAATGACTGTTGCTTATTATTCAGGCAACCTAGACACATGAAACTTTCAGAAAACAAATTTGGTAGTGTTTCCAATGGGATACAAAATAATTGCAAACCTAGATGATCCTCAGCATGTTGTATAAAGCATCACACAGGACACCTTTTTTGCACCACCCAATATATGTTTTGCTGTTTTTTGGTTTGAGTTAAACATAAACTCAAAACAGGAGTATAAAGTTGAAAAAGAGTACCCTTTCAGTACCCTAACAGAAATTATTACTCCAAGGAAAAAAGTCCTCAATCTGGTGGTAGACCTTTAGTCTAAGAAATTCCGCTTTTAAGGGCTTAAAGTTTGTCAGCTGACTGTCCCATCCCAAGGCGTAGCTGACCCCTTCAATGAGAGATCAGAATAAACTTCAATTTTTATTAATTTAATATGTAAGTGGTTGAATTTGGATTAGATTTGGTAGAATATGAATGCTCAGAATTGGGATTTCTGGTGGTAGGTATATATATTTTTATTGAGAAGTAAGTATTGATTATTTGCTCAGAATTGTTTGTTATAAATCAATAATCATTATTATATTAATTATATACTTTGGGTCATTCAATCTTAATTCATAAAAAGAGGCAAAAAATGAAGAGACACTACCATTCCTTATCACATCTCACCACCAAAAACAAACCACGTCACTATGACTCATTGAATCAGTCTTAGACTCAACATATTGCAATATTCATTCATGCACAATTCCTATTTATAGTCTGCTGAGGAAAAGGATGTAAATTGATTCACTGGTTTGGAACCATATGAGCTACCAGATTGTGACACTTGTAAGCTTCCTTTGTTTGTGCCAGATCAGGTATTTGAACAGAGGAAATATTTATTAAATCTGCTAAGAATAAAGACTTGAATCCTGATATTCAATTTGTTTGCATGTTCTGAAGCTTTAATATCAATATCCTTGCACAGAGAAAGGAGTGTCATATACAGTACCTGATGGGATTTATAGACAAGAAAATGGGTCAGATTCAAAGGACAATGCCTCTCACATCAATCACAGAAGGAACTTGGAATTTTCATCAATAATTTGTTTTCATATATCTGAGTATTTAAGGGAACTAACAGTTCTCTGTAGCTTTGCAAGTGTGAAAGAAGTGACTGTCGACTTCCTACATTTTGCAAATTCAATGCCCTCTGCCTCAGGTCTACAAATAAACTAATGAACCTTGGTTGTTTCTAGAGGGGCTCATGCTTGAATACCCTTGTATGAGATTTATTGTCTTTCCAGAATACAGACAGGAGATATGGATCATTAAAATCTTGATTTAAAAAAAAAATTTGGATCATGAGCACCTGAAAAATATCAAGAAACAGCAGCAATAGTAGTGTATATATCCAATGGTAGCTGAAATGAAAGTTTATTTTTTTAATGCCATTTTATAGTAGTGTGAGGGCAAAAGTAGTAAACCCCATGTTTTATAGTGAACAAGTTTACTCACTCATCCGGCCATGTTATGAGCTTTCCAAAAGATTGTATGAGAATTACAGGCAAATTAGACATTTTTATTATCATTTTTTTCACCTGCTGTCTAAAATGCACTTGTAGGAGAGGCACTTCCATGGGGGGTTGGGGGTAGGCACACACTAATTTTTCTTGTTTTTTTGATTACTTTTTAACTAGAATTCACAATGGGAGGAAATTGTATTTCACATTTTATCTCTCCTTGCTATGTTAGCTTTATTTAATTAAAACAATACTACTTGGAGGCTCTTCTTTGACAAGCAAAATATTCATTTAGGTATTTGTACGTGAATGTCCGTCCATGGCCAGAGGGCTATACAATCACCAACCCTCCGGATCCTCCTCCAATTGCCCAAGAAATAGACTTGCATGTCATTGATCTGGTTACCTTGACAGAAGTTGGCAAAATGTTACGATCACATAGAGCATACACACCAAATGAAGAGTGTTTCTTCATATTTCTGGATGTGACGCATCAATATGTTGCCAGGTAAGTTCTCTTGCATAGACACATTATAGGTAATACTATATTATTTGCTAATACCTTGCAACATATCTGTGTATTAGCATTCTGCTTTTCTTCCCTGCAGAAGCACCTGGTTGTCTTAAGTTTAATTTAAGTTAGGTTTTTTTGTGCATTCCTTTTTCATACTCAAATCCAGTTGCAAGTAGCTGCACTGACTTCTGTTTTTGGTTCTGTTAGGACCCAGTTTACTGTAGGTAGCAATGAGAGTAGGAGTACATTGCTCCTCCATATTAATTCCATGCAGGAGGAGAGAACAGCAAAGTATTGGGTTCCTCCTGCCCCTAGAAAATCCTATTGCATGGGGAGGCAAGCACTTCATATTCAAAATAGTTGTGTGGTTGGGTTTGTCAACCTTTCCCTCTCCCCTTAAAAAAAAAGTTGCTATAGGCATATCCCTCCAGTTTTGGTCAGAGAAACATTTCCAGTTGGGCAAGTAGGAAATGCCATGAACTCCCAAATACAGAGCAAATCTCAAGTCTGGGAACATAGGCTTTGCGGTACATGCTCCATGTGTCTTTTTTCCATGTGCATTTGCGGTTGCATCATTCATTCATTTTATTCTCTCTTGTTCATTCAAACTTTTGCAACTGACTCAGCTACTACACTGTGTATGACTGTTGATCAAGATGCTTGATGATAGATGCTTCAGTGGCTAATCTCAAAGAACCTTGGCCATACATTAGGATTACCCACTATGCTTTCCTATTTTGTCAGAGACATTGTTTGTGGTGCTACATGCTATGAACAACATCAAGTGTAAAATCTATGTTTCCAGACTAGTAGTACACATGCTGAGACATGGGAGAAATTGTATGAATAAAATGGAGTGATTGCATCCCTGTATATTTTAATAACATTCACTATTGCAGTGGGGCAGAGGACAAGCATGGGTATCTGTGGGACCGGCATTATGGTATCAGTTTGGGGAAGTACCCTCATCGTGATGTTGTCAACTGTGTTGCCTTCAGTCCTCAAGACACCGAGCTACTTGTAACTGCAAGTGATGATTATACCTTGAAAGTTTGGCGTTCCCGCCACAGTGTTAAGAAACTTGGTTTGGAAACTACCAATCTTACAAGAGGAGTGGAATTACGGAAGGAATGAGTCATACACATGTAGCTCCATGTGCAAAAAAAGTGCAATATCAGGAGTGGGTGAAAAGAGTGCTCTTTTCTTTCCCTATTATGAAAATGCTATCTAGATCAATAAAAGTTATATGCATTTTCTGCAATGTTTCCTGTTAAGCTCTGTTGAAGGGAAATGTTCTGGGTCACAGTATCAGCCAATTTTTTTTTCAATACTTTAACTGGGACAGAGAAACAGCCACTAGACAAATACCACATACAGCTTTGCTCAGATGAAGGGCAATATTATAGCCCAAAACATCCTCTCTTTAGATATCCTCACAGCCCCAGGGAGTATTTCAGAAGTGCTATGGGCCGGAGGGCTTTGACTGGGACTTGGATTCCACCTGGGGATGTATAGCCATTCTATTGCTGCATATTAAACTAGTTTGCACTGAGCCCCTGTCTTAACCTATTATCTAGGTATGACAGGTATACTCACCATGGCCATTCTCCCTCTGTGGTATGAATGACTAGTATATTTGTCATTAGATTTGAAGATGGGGGACTGTCATTCAATGAAACATTCATAAAACATTATTTCCCTTGAATGAAAAAGATTTAAATGAAGTGCCACTACATTCATGAGTTGCTGCAGAAAAAACTACCCACTCAGCCTGCCACTACTGTGCAGAAACTTGCCAGTTAACAGGTTAAGCTACCATGGAGCATAGGTGGAGCACCAACAGGTGAGCAGCTAAAATTTGGAAGCAGCTGGAAGAGCTCTTGGCCTTGGATAAATTTGTCTCATGATGAGGATTTTGACCTCAGGTCTACAGTATGCTAGTCTGAGAGCCATACACACATGCATACATTTTCTGAGCCCCTTTTCCCAATTTAATGGGGTCGTGGTTTGAGCATCCTCAGGAGCGTCCTCCAATGATCTCAATCCTGGGCAACATACTCAAGCTCAGCTGGTGGGATGCTGAGTCTCTTGTGACAAAGCTGAGTGACGTAATCACTCCACCTAGTACGAGGTCTACCGACAGGTCTTTTGCTGGTCATCTTGGCCTGGAAGACTCCTCTTGGGAGCCTCTCAGGGGGCATGTGGTAGACATGTCCAAACATCTGGCCTGAGACCTCTTGATCTGGAGAAGCAGCTGCTTGATGTGGAGACTCTCGCAGATGGCAGAGTTCCACATCCGATCATGGCATGTTACGCCAGCCACTCAACACAAGAACCTAATTTCAGCAGCTTGAATCCACAATCTGGTGCTTTCAGTCATTACCCAAAGTTCATGACCATAGGTGAGGGTGGGGAGGTAAACACTCTTAAAAACCTAGTTTCGCTTCCCTAGAAACTTCCAATCTGGTAACCACGGCCTGCCAAAGTTCCCACAAAATTGCAGAAGCCTTGGAGATGCAGTTGTTGATCTCGTTTCCATGTCGCCCATCACTCGAGAACCAGAATTAATTTTTTTTTTAAATATGGTTGTGACAAGTTATAAGTTCAGGTGAATTTTAAGTTTAAATTATTCCCATCCATCTGAGTCAATCATGCTAAATGAATGGTGTACAAAGTGATAGATAAAAGTGAGAAGAATATAATAATCCAATTGAAGGTATGAATTATGTATTTCAAATATTTTCATCTCCGGGAGAATAGTCATGATGTTTGCATTGGAGATTGTTCTGGTACTGTAACAGGGGAAAACAAAGCTTATTTTTGGAGAGTATAGCCTAGGTGGTTATATCCTCAACATGGATCAGTCCTTAGCATGAGTGTTGGAGTCAGTTTGCTTTTTTTGCATTGTATTTTAGATACAGAATTCCTGCAAGTTCTAATATCTTCAATTACATTTTATACATAGGCAAAGGGCATATGAAGACATGGGGAACTTCACAGGAAAGCTTCCAGTATAATATAGGCCTTTGCATGGGGTTGCCCCACTGTGACCAAAGAACTCCAAACTCAATCACACCTTTAAAGTGGTCAACTTAGAAAATCATGGTGTTTATCTACCAAGGTCTATCCAACAGGGTACAATAACTTTTTATGATTTCCACAATGCATTACACAGCAATCTGCATAGCAGATGCATAAAATATTAACATAATGTAGAAGTGATCTGGTAAAACAGAAGCTTAGCACCACTGCTTTCCATCATCCAAATTAAGAAATCACTTATGTTAAAAGATTGCTGTAGACTGTGATGAAGATGAAGGGGATCCATGTGGAAAGATCACAAAACAAAGGAGGGTAATTCACAATTTTCAACCAGTTATTTGGGAGGGTGGAACAGATGGAGGCTGTGATGGCGGAGGTGAGGCCCTTCCAGACTTCCCCGCTGAAACATCAGTCATAAATCAAAAATCAGTCAAAATTCACTTTAAAATGGCTTCAAACCTCAGGAGTATCAAATGTAAATAATTCCATTTTGAGGTGAACTTGGACCTTTATGGTAGCAACCCATATATTCTCATGATCTAACTTGTCAATCATTGGCTGACATTCTATGAGGGTATAGTGATTCTATTCAATACAAAAGCTCATTACAAATACCATTCTCTTCACAAAGGGCAGGGCTGTGGAATTTTTGAAATAGAACTTAAATGTGTCATGCCAGCAGCTGAAGTCTTGGGAAATACTCAAAAGAAGTTTAAACATGGAAGTACAGGAGGTTCTTTATTTCTAAATATGAAGGCATTTGACATGATCACTACAACCTGGGGCCTTATTCACAAAACAATCTTATGAACTTTTTTCCTTGTAAGAGGAAAAAAGTTTGTAGGTGGTATTCACAAAACATTTTTGCGTAAGAACTTCGTATGAGACTTCACATGCAGTTCGTAAGATTGCTGGACAATTTCGTTAGTCATGAAAGGGCAACAAAAGTTTGTTTCTTTCTTTGTAAGTCTATGATTGGTCAAGAGGTATCGTAAGTGTCTGCCATAATAAACTCAAGGCAATTTTTTTATTGAGTATCTCAAAAAAGATAAATTTCATTTACACTGGAGGGTTTGCAGGATATGTCCACATTGGATTCATAGGATTTTGCACTCTTTTCTCCAATTATTGAAATTATTCTCTGACACAATTTGGGCAATGAAGGAGGAGGTCCACCTCCTCCTCCTAGTCTTGGTAGTCTCTCTGAGGAACTGCGCTCCCTTTACCTTAGCATTTGATTTCAAGTCTATGAATTTTTTATTCACTTCATCAGCAGATCTCTGTACAGAAGAGACACAGCTTACTGCATTGGCCACTGAATCCTATGCTTGCAACTTCATTTTTCCTGTAATGGTTGAATTTAATCTCCCCAGTAAGACTTTCTTCTTTCACTCGACTTTTTCAATCAGTACCCTGATTTTCTCACTTGAGAAATTTGGTCATCAGCCACTCTTTCCTCCACTCTCCATGATTCCAATTTTGATACTGTACCCTCACTTCAGCATTTCTGAAACTTTAAGGTAGTTTGCTTTATGATAAGATTCAGCAGTACAGTCCTATAGGATGTTTTCCTAAAGATTCTGCAGAATGTCCAATTATGTCATAACTTCCTCTAAGGGCGAAAACTGTCACAATAGATGCAGGAAGTTTGCAGAAGGCCTCTGTGACAAAGGGACATGTGAGTCATGCTGCCAACATGATTGCTCTCCACTCTGTGATTGGTTTGCAAGCTCATGAGATCAGCTATGATCGGCCGGTTCATTATCATAGCTACAAAGTTTCTTGAATACCGACAGAGTTCGTAAGAGTGAAACGAGGACTTATGAAGTTTCATGAATACCAAAGATACGAAGTTCGTATGAACTTCGTGAGGATGTCTCATTCTTACGACGTTTTCGTGAATATGGCCCCTGGAGTTCAGGTAAACCCCAGCCCTGTATTTTTTTTGTTTTTCTGCAAAAAGCTGAGATACTCTGGGTCATAATTTTTGGTGACAAAATGGTGTGTTCCAAAGACAGATTTTATCATGAAGTACATAAAAATAGTACTTCATACAGTAAAATCCCTTTGCTCAATCTGTTGTACTCAATGCTGTACAGAAAGCTGTTTGCAACACATTTTAAGCAAATATGTTGTGAGAAGTAATGATTGAAAGAAATTGGTGCAAAAGCTTCAAAATTTTTTTATAAAATAAAAACCAACTACACGTAAATGAGAAAAATACTTGAAGAAATTAAACATGTTGAGTGTATACTACCTATTGCTTTGCTCAGTTAAAAAGTTTCTTAATAGAGCAATAAAAATTAACCTGAAGAAGTGTTCCTTTTAATTTTCCTTATTTAAATAATAAAATCTTTATTTTTAAATATTAACTTTTACTGGCACTGCATACTGAAAAACCAGGTCTGAGCAGACACACCCCATGTCACAATGATAGTTGTCTGAGCAGACACCAGATCATATTAAGGAAGGAGGTGCCACAATGACCCCAATGGTATGACAGGACTAGGATCATTGTGGCAAGTTGTGAGCATTGTGGCAAAACTAACTCTACTGTATTTTTTACCTCTAAGGAGTGCACAGGGTGCCCTGATCAATTCACCACAAAAGTAAAGGCAATTAATAAAATGAATAATTAAATATGGAGGAGAATAAAATTATTGATTCAACAAAGGAACAATGAAAATTAATTTGAGTTGCATGCAATTATCTATGCAAGCATTTTCGCAACTGTTCAAACATAAAAAGTGATTTGCATAACTACTGCAACTGCAAACTGCCAAATATTTTTTAAATAACAAAAAGAAGAAAAGATACAGTCAAAGAACACCACTTTGCAGAAAGTTATTGACACCTCAATTCTGACCACATCTTCAAAACCCATTAATTGCACTGAGTGAATATCAAAACATGTAGACAGTCTGAGGTCTTGCCAATTTCTTGGAAATGCTGATCTTTGTCAATATCCCCAGATTGATTGCATTAATTTTATTGTTTTGGGAATTGGTTTCCTTGAGGAAAAATAAAAATGAACAAGAGATTACAAAATACATGAAAGCACTTGATTCTCATTCACTCCCAAGTTGCAAAATCAATATCGATCATCAATAATCAATTCAGTTTTTCATGGCTCTAAAATGCTGTCACTGTCTAATGCCTTCTTGCATATCATATAGGTGCTCATAGTCTTACCATTGTGGTCACGGTGATGTCCATTTCTCTCTCCTTTCCCTACTGGATCACCATCTTTGTCTCCACTTTTTTGTATGTCATGCTTTTTTTTCACTTCCACATGGCCTCTGCAGTGGACACAATCATCCTCATCTTCTGTGTCACTGTCATCAAATGCTCTTGGCTTCACATACACACAGCAACCTTTGAGAATACAAAGAACAGCCAAAGATGCCTCAAATCTTAATTATCTAGTCTGCAACAGAATTGCACTAATGCTAAAATGAGTCCAGAAAGCTAGATGTCTTTGAAAAACATGACAAAAATGAAGGCATAAAAAAATTGAGCAATCATTCATTAAAAGCTGAGGGAGGCAGAGGAGATAAGAAAATACAAATACATTAATTTCATGGTGATATATGAAATAAATTATAATAAAAAAATAGATGAGCTCAAGTAGTCATATGCTTCCAAATATTTTTGTTTATTTTAAAAACGTTATTATTGCTTATGCTTATTTTTCAGTAATGGGAGCTGGAAATAACTAATTGGAAAAGGAGGCATAACAATTTTGCAGCAGAATGAAATCCTGATGATATAACAATTGAAAGTGGAACTTGCATGACATCTATTGGGATAAAAACTTCTGAAAGGTATGAATTTGATTTCTGATCTGTTGTATTGTTTATGTGCTACATGTAAGGCATTAAACAATAGATGCATAATAAATGTGTGGATTTTCAGCAGGAGTATACAGAAAGTATATAGCTTAAATACCTCATGCGGTGGAAAAAATGGAGTTATTTTTAGTCAAATTAAGCAGGAAAATGAAAGGGGGGGGGTTAAGGTGTATAGCACCTATATGTATCTCCCAGACATTATGATATATATCTAATCCAGAGACTAAGAAGTTATCCCACATGAAAGCAATTGGACTGCCTGCTGGCAGAGAAAGTCTGCTGCCACCTGGACTCAACCCCAACCTCATGGTTTGAATTCAAGGTTAGCAAGATGCTGACCAAAAATATGGCAAAAATTTTAATTGGCAAGAATATCCACTGCTGATGAACTTCTTGGAAAAGTTGAGATGAAACTTAATTCAATACCATACCAGTTCTGACTTCGCATGCTAATTTTTGAATGGTTTGATGTTGCAGAGATTGATCACTGCTTACATATATAAGCTAGGGGTGAATATTCATGCTTCAAGCATTTACCTGGCAAACATTTCAATACTACTTACTCATCTACATACTGTGCCACATTCATTCAGTAGTGTGATGAATGAAGCTACAATGAAGCTAACCATTTTTTTTATAATAATAAATTCTTGCATTCATTCAGGCTGGGCAATGATAAAATATGGGCTATTTGAACAAATGTCATAAATCTCTATAGGACAAAGCTTCCCTGGAATTCCCAGCCTTATATTTAGACCTCATCTTTCCTTGCACAGATAAACAGTTAGAAGCTAAAGTATTTATGTATCCATTTTCTTTCTATTTCACATGAAATCACAAGAAAACAGATAACAGGGTGAAATGAGCCTGCATTAAATCTATCTGCTTATTTTTACAAAAATAAAAGTTACTCTTTGCTTAATCACATCTCCAGTATGCTGGATTATTCTTCAGTGAAGTTAAAAAAATGCATTTGTCATGGATTAAACTAGCCAGTACTCTGCTGAGGAGTCCAGAGCATACCCCTCTTTGTGGAACCAACTTCAGAAGCCATCTATCAATTTCTTTGAGGAGTTTAGTTTGCCAGTTCAAGTTTCCACAGCCCCAGTTCCCCATCTCCAATATGCACTTCACTGAATTGATACCACTTCATGCCATTATTTTAGGAACCAAACCCACTCCTTTCATTCAAAGAAACTCACTTTGGCAATCAAAAAGAAACAAAGTTGAACCAGTTCAATTACAATATTTGCAATGCATCATCAATCATCATGGCTTTGTAAGACATCTGCATGAAAAAATTTTTATATTTGGCTTAATTAATACTTTTTCCTATCAACCTATACAATGGGTCATGAAAAAGGCAATGCCAAAAAGCTCAATGTCTTTATGGCCATTCATTCATCTAGGTCCTGACGAGAAATCATGGAGAAGATTGGGATTCCCTAAGAAGCTTACACAAAATTGTAAAACAATCACAAGCTTTGTATGCATAAAACATGCTAATACATATCTGGAGCTAATATTCTAATTTATAGGAAGATTCATATGAAATGCTTGAGCACTCACACTTGGAACTCTTCTTTCCCATGTGCTCATTGTCAACTGTGTCAGTTGTCCATTCCACCTTCTTTTTTGTCTGGACCTTTGGTTGCTTCAGAGTCAGATGTAGAGATTTTTTCTGGAAAGAAGGTTTATCTACTCAGAATTATTTGCATTTCTTTGTTGCAACTCAAAGTCAAAACAAAATGGTCTCACATCTTCCCTTTGTTTAAATTTATATTTAAATTTAACTCCTTAACAGTTGAACCTCTTCATTGGGTAGTTATCAATTCATGGGCTTAATATTGGGAAGTTTTTTTTTTACCCAGTTAAGTAAACTGATTTTGTATCTCAAACAATATTTCAGTTAACATTCATGTTGTTTTACTGCATTTGACTGTTATTGGCACATACGAGGGCCACTCAATAAGTTATCTACCTGAATATGAAAGGGATGAGCAACAGGCCTGTGCCTGCTGTGACATGTCTCGACAGGTCTCGTGAGTGCCCCACCACTATACCAGCTCAGTGGCTCAAGTCCGTTCAAAGTGGTAGCGCATTACATTTCTTTTCCTGAGTCTGTGTCATGGATTTGACGAAAGTTGAACATCGTTCAGTGATCAAATTCCTCACCAAAGAAGGGAAAGCACCTAAGGAGATTCNCAAGCAGGAGTCCATGCAGTGGAAGCACAAGGGATCGCCAACGCCTCGCAAATTTCGTGTTCAGAAATCTGCAGGAAAGATTATGGCCACTGTGTTTTGGGACAGCGAGGGACTACTGCTGCTTGAGTTCATGCCAGACAAGTGTACAATCACTGGCGATTCCTATGCTACCCACAAAGAAAAATTTCCATGATGCCATCAAGGAAAAACGCAGATGAAAGTTGTCAAGGGGGGTCCTTCTCCATGGCAACGTGCCCGTCCACAAATCATGGAAAGTTCAGGCAGCAGTGAGGGAGTGTGGCTTTCAGGAGCTCAACCATCCTCCCTACAGCCCGGATCTGGCTCCTAGTGACTATTTTCTGTTCAGACACTTGAAAAATTTTTTGCGGGGAAAAAGATTTTCATGCAATGAAGAGCTGAAAGTTGCCATTTCTGATTGGTTTGATGGACAAGAAGTTGACAAGGGAATAAAATCCTTGGAATCAAAGTGGAATAAGTGTGTTGAGTTAAAAGGTGACTACATTGAAAAATAAAGTGTTATTTTTCCCCTTGGATGTTTCTTTCTTATTCAGGTAGATAACTTATTGAGTGACCCTCATATAAAATTACAGAGATATATGGAATAGGGTAGATATATCTGTCATACTCCCATTATTGGAAAAAATTTATATGATGAATCATCTGTCAGCTTAATCTACTTGAGAGATTCAAGTTCAATGCATCAAAATGAATCATGATAGATCAAATAGATGTTGAGGTCTTGAATGAATAAAATACTGACTCTCCAATCATCTTGATAATCCAGATTAAACTTGAGTCACCAAATCCTTTAAAATTTCACTTAATTTGGAAGGAATTCTAATGATATTGAGAACTACTCTATGTGATTCCTTGCAGTTTCTTGATACCATAAATGAGAAAGTGAGCATTTCTTCCTTCACTGAAGGCAAGACCTGTGGCACAATGGTAACTGTGAGAGCTGTTTCCCTCATGAATACAGCAATGAGGAAAATAATCCTGATGCCCCTCAAATTTGAGTTCAGAGCTGTTTAAATAGCAACTAATAAGCTTTTAAGAAATTGCCTATGAAGATTATGAACCTTTGCTATAGCCAAACAAGAGACAAAATTAATTTTCAAACTTCATAATGGCTATGGCACATATCTTGGCATGGCTTCAACCATCCAACGACCACATCTTTTAAGCAATCTCAGGATCTTGTGTAGATAGTGCAGACCAAATTGAAGATCAAACCAAGTTGAAATTTAAAAAAGTTATTTTGAATATCATCCAATTATTTCACCAATTGGCAGAGCATTATGAAACATGAATGCACCTGACAGATTCAGTCATGCAATTTGCATTTTATTCACTTCTGTATCTGGACCCACTCTTTATTTAGATAACTCTGTGTTGTGAAATTAAAAAAAAACCATTCAGAGTCAAAATATTGCATAGTTATAGATGCAACTCTGCCTTCCCAATACAGGTTGCAGGTAGAATCCAGACCCCAGGACCTAAGACCCTGGCAACTATTGCATGAAAATGAAGATTTCAGCATCAAGTTTTGATTTCTTGGTCTTCAAAATCAAAACCAAATGTTCTCATAATTAGTTAAATAAATCAAAGGATTCCATGAATAATTTGATTCAGGGCTCATGATTCACTCTAAAAATTTGAATTTGCAAGCAAAAACTCAATTAAATATTTTGGTTGAGTTTTGTGACTATTTTTGACAGTTTAGGGCTGCTAACAGCTATGAGGCCCCACCAGAAAGTAAGAAATAGTCTTCAGAAAAAAAAAGGAAAAAAGTCTTGAGTCTCATCAAAGCTTGGCTATAATTCAATGCATCCTTCTTTCTGTGTAGCAACATAATTGATTCAGTGCTGCCTTCCTTCTGACTCAGAGACATCATTAACTTTGTTCCTTTCTTTTTGAGTCATCCTGAGACTGCTCTCACAGGCTGTTATAAGACAAATATAAGTGCCATCTTTTCATCAGCTTCTCCAGCAATGGGACTAGATCAAATTGAGAGACATAATTTTTTAACCACATGCTGTGAGAGTAAGGAAAGATTTCCCAGTCTTACTTTCTCATGAGGTTCATCACCAAGTTGGCACTGTTACAAAGGATTTATGTATCAATGAGAAATTCCTCATGTAAGATTTTGTTCTCTTTCAATAGATGGTCATGCAAGAATACCACGAGAACCAAGTTTCTCTTGGCACTCCATAAGCATGGTTGGTTGGTTCCTTTGATCTTCCATGATAATACCCAATATCACTGACCACCTGGTAATGAACTTCTTGGAGAAGCATCATCCTCAATCAACCAATGAAGGGTATGTAAAAAATAACTAGACAACATTGTAGATAATCTCATCTGGATGATTTTGCTAATTATTCATTACTATTGAACACAGACCTCCATTTCTCTCACCAGCTTAAATTTTAAGACGATGTTGTCAAGCGTCCCCAGTTCACCATTCACCATATATATACATGAGGGGTGTCCGAAAAGTTTCCGGAAACATCAAATGAAAACTAAACCATTGTTTTCATTGCTACCAAAACTGGTATACAGGAACATCACACCTCCCTTACCCCTCTGTTAGAATCTATGCACTTTTGCCTTCTGGAGGGAAACTATTCTCCTGTAGAAGCCTGTTTCTTGTTTGTTGCATCCATGGTCTTGAAGCACTTAGAAGATCTTCACCACTGATGAAGTATATTCCACGAAGCTGGCTCATCAACTGACCAAACTGATGATAGTCAGATGGGTCTATGTCTAGGCTATATGTTGGGTGGCTAGCAACAGTCCACAGAAAATTGGCAATAGCATGCATTGTTTTGAATGCCAGCTATAGGATACAGCATGCAAGATACAAGATTCTACAGAAGGGTATGTGGTCATTGCCCTCAAGATGACAGAAGTGCAGATATTAAAACAGTGATTTATTCTGAGGACTAAGGAAGGTGTGATGTTCATATGAATTGGCTTTGGTAGTGATGAAAACAGTGGTTTTTTAATTATTAGATGTTTCCAGAAACATCCCTGGACAGTGCCCCTTGTACTTCTCTAAAATTATGGCTGTAGTTTCCTTAAACAGCCACTGTCATAATTTGCAATATGAAGTAGGATGACCATCAGTCTGCACTAGGAGACTTAATTTGGATAATTAGGCACAAAAGGAACCTGCACATTTTTCATAGTCCCTCTCCAACTTCATTAAGTGAGACCGTGTTCCCAAAGGAGAGAGTCTAGGCTTGAAAATGGGAGATAATCAGGAAAATGTTCAAACTCAGACAATCCAACACCATATCCAGTTCATTAGTACTGTTATTATTTATATACAAAGAACATGCAAGAAATTATGGGTCCTCTCACATATGAGCTATTCTCAATACTAAAGAAAGTGTCTTGGGGTAGAATTTTGCCAGCTTGGAATCTGTTGCTGGGACCAAATAAATCAGATATTAAGATGGTCTAACTCATTGTGTAGCCAACCTACCTTCTAGCTTGGTGCGATGTTGTCATTGCATATGATGGAGAAAATGTAAAATAATTATAACCAAATGTAGCATAACTCATTATATAATTTCTCATAAGTGAAACTTGGGAGTAGTTTCTAACTGGCTCTCATATGGCTTATTCCATAAGAATGAGTAGATGCAGCCTTACATCATCACCATGAGACACCTTTGCAGCATGTAAGAAGAAAACAAGTCATAAGTTCCCACAAGCCAAAAAATTTATTCAAGTACAGTAAAACCATTGGTTCAACTCTGTGGAGAAAAAAGCTCCATGTTCAGAAAAATGCCTTATAGGTCTTTAGAAAGCACATCACAGCATGTATCTAGCAAGCAAAATATACACATACAACTTGAGTTCAGACTATACCCTTCCTTTCAAATTCATCAATCTTTTGATCAGAGATTCCCAGGATCATGTTCAATACCTGCCTGGTGTGTTGCCCCAAAGTAGGAGGGGGCGTGTGAATTTCACACCGAGAGCCACTGAAGCGCACTGCTGGACCCACCAATTTTACATCACCTGAACTGGTATGCTTTATTGATTTTACCAGATCTAAATGTTCAACTTGTGGATCTTTGAATGCTTCTGCTACACTATTGACTGGTCCATATGGGAAACCACATCCTTCAAAGACCTCAAGCCACTCTGCAGCTGTTCTTTCAAGGAATTTTTGCTCAAGAATTTCTATAAGTTTCTGCCTGTTTTTAACTCTCAAAGAATTGGTCTTGAACTCTTCTAAGTCCACTAGATGAGGAATCCCTAGGCGATCACAGAGAGACTTGAACTGATTGTCATTCCCAGCCCCAACTGTCAAATACATTCCTGAACAAGTCAAAAATGCCTGATACGGAACAAGACTTTCATGGGCTGTTCCCCACCTCTTTGCAGAAATTCCTGCATTGAGATAATTTGAAGCTAGATTCGCAAGGCAAGAAATTTGTGATGCCAGTAAATTTGCTTCGATTTTCTGGCCTTTCCCTGTCAATTGACGTTGTAGGAGTGCGGCTATAATTGCCCCATACATGTATAGTCCAGTTGTCAGATCTGTCATGGCAACACCAACTTTACAGGGTGCTCCATCAGGTGGTCCTGTAATGTGGAGAAGTCCTGCAATTGATGCAGCAATTATATCATACCCTCCTCTCTGAGAATATGGTCCTGTAGAACCGAAACCAGTGATCGAACAGTATATCAACTGCTCATTTAGGGTAGAAAGCTTGTCATAACCTAGTCCAAGTGCATTCAACTTCCCTGGAATGAAGTTTTCAATAAGGACATCAGACTTTTCAGTCAGTGATTCAATCAATCTTAACCCCTCAGGACTTTTTATGTTGACTGTCACACTTTTCTTGTTTCGATTAATGGAGAGAAAATAGCAAGATTCTTTCCCTATGAATGGGGGACCCCAATGACGTGTATCATCTCCCTTCTTAGGATGCTCAATTTTTATTATCTCAGCCCCAAGGTCTCCCAGCAGCATTGTGCAGAATGGACCAGCTAAGACACGAGTAAGATCCAAAACTCTTATTCCTTGAAGAGGACTTTGCTTCTCAACACAATCACCACACTGTGATATGGATGAGAGATTCCTGAATGATGAATAGAACACTCTTGCTTTCATCCAGCAGCTTTGGGCAGGAAACTGCATCAGAGCCATGGCTGTTCAGCAATGTGGAGTTATGCACATCAGCTTCTGCACTCAGTCATTCTGTTCCATGTAAAGTAATCTTACATTCAATGGTCTCCATAGCACACAAAAACTTATTGTAGTCATATGTGCATACAAGGTGATTATATAGAAACTTCTGCACTTTAGTACAGAATATCTCAAAAACTGTATGACATAGGAAGCCGAAATTGCACAAGGGTGTTACAGAGATCAGGTGCTCTAGGATGCCATATTTATAATATGGCTGTACTCAGGGAGCCCTTGTGACTTAACCTTTACACACCGAGCATTTCCAAATTCAAACAGAACATGTCAGCAGAAAATTGTGAATTATGCAATATTCCAAGAGCATGGAATCTTCCTTTGCACTCCTAAAAACGGGAGATTCAATGCACTTCAAACAGAGCAAAATTTAAAAATTTCCTTAAAAATGCTGTTTTCAAATTTGGAAACATTTGGCATGTAAAGTTTAATGTCTCACTAATCACAGCAACAGCTCAATATGTGCTTCTTCAGTGTCCAGAAAGTATTGCATCTGTGTAAATATGGACATAACAGAAGCAACATACAGTACATCTCATCTGGTATGCTACCTAGATAATTGCATTATTGGATATAGAAAAATTTTAACAATTCATTTCTTTGCAGACCTGTCAGCTTCATGTTGATTGACTGAGGTGAACTGCAATTGACAGCCCAATTTATACCCCTGAAAGTATAGGCAATTACAAAATATGCCACTGTGATGCTCCTTGTAGTAATTGTAGCACCTTTGAAGGCATGGTCCCCATAATGCCCCTGTACAATTGCAACTTCCTATGGCACACCATTTCTACGATGTTAAGCATACAGCAAACAGTTGATGCTTGATAAAACAAACATAAAAAATTTTCTCTATTACAAATTTTTTCAAGTTCCCAGCCATTCAATTGTTGTCAATGATAATTAAGAGGTAGTACTTCATGAGTGACTTATTCTAATGGTAATCAAAATATATGAAATGGGCCTACAATGCAGAGTATATAAAAACCAAATATTAGTGTGGTATGTGAAAAGAAAGCTATATAAATTGTTATATCAAAGATTCTCATACATTCACATTTTTATAGTAGCAGACACTATTCAATACAATACCTTATTCATTTAGTTAAACAATGTTCTATTTAAATTATACTCATAAATGGTGGATTTAAGCATTTAATCCAGAACCTATAATCTGGAAATAATACATTAAATATTTACCTATTGCAAAAGTCTCTGAATATCTTGAGCAGATTGAATTACATAACCAAACCATGCATTATAAACATTCTCCAGCTGATAAAATAATCAACACTTTGTTTTCACTACAATAACTCTAACCAGGAGTATCATATTTTAGATACATGGAATACTGCAATATTCTGTATAGAATATCCACAATTTTGGCCACTAGTATAATGGTTTAAATGCATGCTTGTTGGCTATTAAAGCATATGCTATTTTATTGTATAGTGTCTGCTACTATTGAAAAATAAAAAGGAAAATATAGGGTGTTTCAAAAAAGATGCTCCATCCTTTTTCTATGGGGAAATGACAATTTTCTCCTTAGGGGTATTACATCTAGAGATGGGCTCTATTGTCAATGTAATGGGCATGTCATCATTGTTGGAAAAAAAAATGTTGCATTTAAAATTGTTTACCCTATCTCCTCTTACCATAAAAAAATTGCCAAGGGTGGGATTGAAACTCATTGGTCGCAACCTATCCGACCTCACCTCTATCCATCACATCATTTTGTACTCGACATATCAGTAGATATACTTGGTACCTCTTATTGGAACTGTTTTACAGTGATAAAGTGGTGATAAGGCATCCTTATTTCTCTGCTTCAGCATGAGACCTGAAACTTAAAGAGTGCATTGGAGAGTGCAGAAATAAAGCAACAGCAGGGTAATAATCTTGACATTATGTTAAAACTACCTTAATTTCTGAGGTTTTTCTTCTCCATAAAAATGGAAGTCAAACTCTTTCTGAGATTCTAATTTAATTGGAATGACTATTCCTTTAAAATGGCAAAATCAGAATTTAAAAAAGTAATTTCCAGGTGTTTTTGATAAAAATGATGAATTATGATAATTAAGATACTGGTCAGGATCAGTCGTTGGAATGCTAAACCTAACTCCAATGGAACCTTCCTAATTTTTAACTGAATGAAATACTTTGAATTTAAAATCAAAATCAATTCTTTTTTCCTTAAAAATCTTCTGCATGAACAGAAAGGCATGTGCTCCTAGAACTGTAGGCTGAACAGGTACAGTGGAGGGACCAGGAACAGACTGGTGCATTGATCCAATCATTTAGATTTAGCAATGGCTTTGCAATGTTCAATGCACGTTCACTCCAGCATCCAAAGGGAAGAATAATGTGAGGAAAGACTTGAATATTTGTACCCTCACATCAAAATCTTGAGTAAAATTTGTATTATTCTCATGGGGTTGAAGCAATCCCTATTCTTTGGAGTGCATCTGACACCAAGAGGCAAGTCCCAAATTTTATCGATGACTCAGCCTACAATGAACTGCTTGTCAGATTAAGTGTTCTCTGCTTCATTCTCAGGATGTTCCACCTTTAAGAAAATAGACAGGAGCCAGAATAAAGCCTGGTCTGATTTATTTCCCTATGGGAATGAGGGTTATCTATTCCCCATAGAAAACGAGCAGAGCTTCTTTTTTGAAACACCCTATATATCATCTACTTTTGTCAAAGAGGGGCATTAAGAAAGAGAAAGAAAGTGAAAATAAAAAATAGCATGATGGGCCAACAAGTAGTGCAGGAGTCTCGTCAGGGGCATGACCCTGCTAACAACTTGTGGTGCAGCTTGACCCTTTTTGACATCTCCACACTAGATCTCAAACAAAAATCCTTATCTTTTTCCACTGGGGACAGTTTTTACTTCTAGCCTAAACTTCTTGAAGGCAGACATACATAGGCTCAGATTGCAGCACACCCTAAAATACATGTACCAGTGATTCATCTTAGTCAATCAGCTCCTCACTTTGCTGATCTTTCCTTTTCTGAGCCTAGGGATGTGGTGACACTCTTCAGGCATGAATCTCCACACTAGGAAAAACTTTTAACTGCTCAACAGTGAGTGGGGTATTGTTTGACTCTCCATCTCCACATTCACACTACACAATGCACTTCCTACTAATAAGTAGCATAGGTGTCAGCCTTAATCAGCCAATGATTTGTGCTATTGTGGTGAATTTGAGAGAGGCTTAAGCTGTGGATGCCCTTATCTGCTCTCTGTTTGAGCAGATTCTATCTTTCTTCTTAATTTTTTTTTCATTCCTAGTGTGTGTCAAAAGGAGTCAAGCAGCACCACAAGTTGTTAGCAGGGTCGTGCCCCTGACAAGACTCCTGTATTGCTTGTTGGCCCATCAGGCTATTTTTCCACTTTCTTTCTCTTTCTTAATGCTCTCCTTGGTTTCCCCCTATAGCTAAAATCCACATTGTCTGGAGGTCTGCTATGAATTTTCCATTATTTCATAATTTCTGCATTGATGTCTGTGCAAGTCGATTCATTGCTCATAGCATCTTGGCCAACCTAGGTGGTTCATGAGAGAATCTATTCAAAACATAAATATAGATATAATATGATGTATAATCACTGTTAGAAGAGCAATCCCTTGACCAACTACAGCCCAGTGCACATGTGAGTCCTCTGACAGGCATCCCAAAACTATTGTCAAATGCCAGGATTTGCAAGAGATTTAGATTAACTGGAGAATTTCAGGCAATCTAAGGCTGGAAATGATACCCATGTAATTTCCCTGTGATTCCTAATTTTTGTCATACCCTGTATATATGTTTCTATACATATATAAATATACAGTATATTAGATTAGTACTTCATGTCAATATTCCCATCAGAGTGGATCTAGTCTATTGAAATAAAGATCATGAACCAAAAGAAAGTGATAGAATACTCATAATGGACCAGCAAATTGTGCAGGGGTCTTGTCAGGGGCATGATCATGCGATCAACTTGGTGTATGGCCAAGCCCTCTTCAATTTTTCTAAACCAGAGAATAAATTCTTAAGGAAGAAGGCAAAAGTACTTGCAAGATGAATGCAAAAGTGACATATCCATATTTAGTTTCTCTCACAGCCATTACAAATTTGAAATCCATTAAATGGGCAGGGTTTGTACCAATGTCACTTGAAGATGATCAGTACATGATGTTCTATGGCATTGAGATGATGAAAAAGAATCTACCCCTCGGTTCACTATGAGCTTTTTTGTAACACCAGCTGAAAGGAAGAATACTTTCAACAAAATCTAATTATCACTGCATCATTCAATGGTAGAGTTAGATTAGGACTATAAAATATTCCATTGATGACTTTGTCATCATGCCCCAGAATCTCAGGGCCAGATTGCATTCTTCACTTTGAGGAAGTGTATACATATGGCTTTTTTTCTGAAGATGATAGTTCTCAGATAGAAGAACTCAGATAGTAGAACTGCATTAATGCCTCATATTATTCCTTTTCTTGTTTCTATGCATTCATGTTTAGAAAACAAATATATGGATTACATTTGAAAAAATTACCTATCCCAGTGAGTGAACAAACGATGATGCAACCCACTACAAAAATTTTGCTAACCAATTAACTTGATCAATGAGGATGATTACTAGCAATTAAAAATTGTTTGGTACAATGTGCAATTCTCAAAGAACCTACGTGTAATACAACAAATTTTAAAAGAGGAACCTTGCAAAATTTGGTACAAATGATTCACTTATTAAATTAGCATTATACATTGAAATTATCATTTCAGCACCCTCTAAAAATTTGAGAAAATCCCATATAATGATTGATCCTTTATTTAGGCTCAGAACAAATTCCAAATTGGAATCCAAACCAAGAGTTGATTTTATGCTTCAAATTATATTGGGTTGACTTTCATTCACATGCTAAACTGGCTTATCACAGCTTAAGGCAACCCACCTCTTCTGAGTCTGTCTTAGACTCAGTGACAGTTTCTGAGGGAGCATCTTCATCCAGTTTCTCTGCCATCCAAGTAGCATAAAATCACCTGTAATTTTGAATATGGATTAAAAAAGTAAATCAACGCTTTACATGCCAAATGTCATTTTGCTATGAAGTCAATTGAAAAGTTGCTATACTCAAATGAAATAAATATATTTCACATTACACCATTCCAAAAAAACTGAGCAGTAAAGAGGTAGCAGATGGGACAATCCCTTCCATCTTTCCTTGATCACCCTATTGAAACATCTACATGAGTCATCATGTACTATATCCTAGAGAACCATGTCATCGTGGTTCAGTGGATAGGGCTTGGGTCTATGTGGGAGGTCCAGATTCAGATTCAACCAGTGGCAGGTGACATTCTCCTGGGCCAACAGTTCACTTGACTGCTTTCGGGTACTACCTTCTCTCCCTTGGGCTGAAGCATAGGCTACTCTGTGCTCCATTGTCTGAGAGGCAGGGCTCAGTGCACCTCAATAGCACCTGCCATATAGGTCCTGGCAGTCTGATGTGCAGCCAGAGTGGCATTGAAGTTGCCACCACCTTCCCCATGCCCATGAAAATGAAATACATTATGACAGGAAGTGTAGGAAGGTGGGGCAATGCCACCAGGGATGTCCAAGAACAATTCCCTTTCCTCTACTCTGTCTAGCTACTAGTGGCATTTGTCCTTGTCTGTGTCCACATTTTAAAAATAAAAATAAAAATGTATTATATCCTAAATTAAGGGGAACAAAAAGATCTAACCATAAGAAAATCATGATTGGTACATGGAATTTTGAGCAATGAACAAAGAAAGAGAAGGTAATGTCCACTCAAGCTAGAGACCACTCAGTTTTTTATTGGAATGGTGCATTTAAAGTGAATAAATAAGCCAATGAAGAAAATAATTTAAGACATAAAACAAAATGAAAGACTGAACATCCAAAGCACAGCAGAATTATAACCATCAAATGTTAGACCAGGATCAATGTAATTACTGTACGCCAACTTCAGAGATGATGGAGATGTGAAAGATGTCACAAATTAATTAAGGGCAAGGAAGCAATTTTAAAAGTAGTTTTGTCATTCATTCCTTGAACCACCATGTAGTATAAAGCATAGTCTAATGTTAAAGTAGCTAAGTATGTCCTTTGTATAGTTACCTCAGAGCTAAGAAAGTAACAGGTCATTCCGAATTCACAGTATGGTAACGATGGTAAGGTCTTATTGAGGTTAGAGCGAAAGAAAAGGACAACAGAATATGCCATTTTCATCGAGGGAGAACATACATCCCAGACAATCAAGGGCACACTATTGACTATCAACTATGATAAAGCCTAAGCAGCAAAGCTACCAGGTAGCCCTATCGCACTAACGTTAGACGAATGGTCCTTAAACCAGTCGCCTTTCGTCCAACCGTTATACCTTCGCTGAGCATAGATAGGCCAAGTCTCTTTTTTACCCCCACTTTTCTAAACCGATGGCAAAGTTAAAACAATGGGAGGACTTTCATGCAAATGAAGTCTCCTTTTCAGCAACGATACGAAAGAATTTAGGTTCTGAGAAACGAAGTTGCACAATGCGTATGAGGGAGCAGCCATATCTCAAAGGCCCAGTCACGTGCTCCCAAAATATGGCGGCGATCAACTGTATCTCAAGCCGCAACACGTTCAACACGCTCCATATTTTTGGCCTACAAGTTTTTTTCACTTGAATTTGAAACCTTTTGGGTTAACCTTGAGATTTATTTCCTGGAAGCCTCGGGGTAGGAGAGAGTGTCAAATTCAACCATACTTGACGTGTTTTCGTGTATAAGCATGCTGCTAAGTTTTATTACTTTTAACGTTACTCAGTTTAGGATTGATTTGGTAACCTCCCATAAAAGCGATGCCATTGATTCCAGGTTGTGAAATCTTCTACTTCTGGTGGTTTCATGGATCACCTGATGAAACGGATCCTCTGGTATTAGAGCCAGCTTCATTTCTTCCTACCCGGGGAGGTTACCAATTCCATTTGAAAACAGTGCACTGCATAATTATAATATTCTTTATCATTAGGTCGCCATTTCATTCATCCATTCACATAACGTATCCTTGTGACATTTTCATAACCGTGGAAGGAGCTTAATGCCATTATAGTATTATCCCCCTGACCATTGTCAACCCAGGGATATCCACTGGCCAGGTCTCCACTTGGCAAAGGAGGCCAGAATTGGAAAAAAAATGTGGGACAGCAATTATTGGTTGACTGTAATTGTTCAGGTAGAATTTAGGGGCATAGGGGGAAACTGATTACTGAAAAGAAACACCTCTATTGCATATTGAGTTACTCAAATCCATCTTGCTGGGTCATCTCGCTTGGAAAACCAGTCTTCAATCAGTTTTACTATTGTTTCCAATCCAATATCCCCATTTCTAAAAAATTTGGCTATGTTCAATGGTAGTGCTTTTCTATGGTAGTCAAACTAATTCTACATTGATCATTATGATGTTGGGATGTAATCTTCATTTAACAGTCACTAATGAGCCCAAAATTAAAGCAAACATTTGAATGATATGGGAAGCCAAACTCATTACAAAATGGGTGAGGTGGGAAACCCTCCATGATGAGGATGGTAATGATCCCTGGATGTAATCCCCCTCACCATCTCCCCCAGAAATTGAAGTCCTTCATGTTAACACGTTCAGTCCTGCAATCAGAAATCTCCAATATGAGATTAGAAATATAGAAACATGTCATCATTCAGCTTTTTTAAACTTGATAAACTAAAGGTAACTGTGAACATTTCTGAAAATTTTTTGTGTATGCTACATTAATTTTTTAGATGAGTAACTAATTAGTAATTCATCATTGGGGTTGTATTAGTAACACTTGCACCAGGACTGGATGTGTTGTGTCATTGGCATATATGAGAGCTCGAGTTCCCTGTTGCTAATGCCTACATTTACTCCCATCATCTCTCCTTGTCATAAGTTTGCTTGTATTATCCTTACTATTTGGGAGATAAGCACACCCAAAGCCCTTTTTCTTTGAGTAGTTGTTTCCACCAGAACTATGGGGTATTCATATCATCATTATGGGAGATATTTATGGTTCTCACACTAAAATGAGATTTTGGAAAAGCAATCTTTTTGTATTTGCATCTATCCTCTGCGAAAGTTGAGTATCAGAGAAACTTCCCACTTTGTCCTTTTATCAGAGTATGATAGATACAGTGTCTTTGTGGCTCAATGAATAGTGTCTTGGGTTGGCATACAGGAGGTCCAGGATTGAATCCAACTGGTGGCAGGTAGTATTCACCTGGGCCAACATTTCACCTAGTTGCTTTCAGGTACTACCTGCTCTCCCTTGGGCTCAAGCACAGGCTGTTCTGTGCTCCATTGTGTGAGAGGTAGGGGTTTAGTACACTTCAAAAGATATTATGGCTCATTGACCTTGGTGACCTGGTATGCAGTGATGGAATGGATTAGGTCTGAGTGGCATGAAACTTGCTGTCACCTTCCCTGGGGCAGTAAAAATGGGATGCAGTGATAGGGAGCATAGGTACATGCAACAATGCTTTTGCCCATGTGAAAATTCCATGTATGACAGGGTGTATGATTCTGTATGGTCATGTATGGTCATATATTTGCCATATACCACCATATATGTTTTCATATATGGTATGGTATTTTACCTGCATTGCAATATTATGTATGATGGGCAAATGGCATCATGCCTGATATGTGGTGAATATGCATAGACAAGTCTTATGGTTATAAGTAAAACAGCATGAGGTCAGTGGTATATTTTGGTTGAAGAGTCAGGGGGGACAGGACAGCAGAGTGGAGGCACCAAGCCCTGTCCCAGGGATGCCGGGGGGGGGGGGGGCAGCTGCACTCCCCTGCCCCCTCCCTAGAAAAGATTTAACAATTGTATGGTGCATAATATATTTTACCTGCATTGCAATATTATGTATGATATGTGGTGAATATGCATAGACAAGTCTTATGGTTGTAAGTAAAACATAGCATGAGGTCAGTGGTGTATTTTGGTTGAAGAGTCAGGGGGGACAGGGCAGCAGAGTGGAGGCACCAAGCCCTGTCCCAGGGATGCCGGGGGGGGGAGCAGCTGCACTCCCCTGCCCCCTCCCTAGAAAACACGCCACTGCATGAGGTTGTTACACATGAGGGCAATTGACCTTCAGATGCCTCTGCAACTTATTTTTAATGCACCTATTGTACTTTACATGAAATATTAAGTACATAACTCTTAAAGTAATTTGCCAAAAGTTTGATTTTGAACCCCCCCAGCTGAAAGTCCTTGTTGGAAACAGCTATAATTTCCAGCTGAACCTCAGTTGGAAATTCAGACCCATTCCAACTGGGTAGCAGCTGGAAAGTAAAGTCAGATTCAGATTGTTCCTAATTGCAATACACTGGTAGAATGAGAATGTTTTTGCTGGTTATTCTTGCTGGAGTGTAGCAGCTGGAAAGTAAAGTCAGATCCAGATTGTCCCTAATAGCAAAACACTGGTTGAATGAGAATGTTTTTGTTGGCTATTCTTGCTGGAGGTCCATCTACAGAAGCAGCTGAATTTCAACTGTAAATTCAGCTGCATTTCAACTGGAGGGTCCTCTGTATAAAATTCTAACTATAAATTTCCAGTTGTAAAACAACCTGTATCTACCATTTTTTAGCTCTTTGCCAGCTGGAAATGGTCAGAATATACAGCTTCTGTCCACCTGAAAAATTCAAGTCAGGATTTCAAACTGGGCCCTACCCTCTCTAGGTAGCATAAGTGTATTGTGGATTAAAAAAGTGTGGGAGGAGGAGGGGGCATGGGAACTCCAAGACATGGTTATCATGTATCTTTTCCTTTGTATTAATGTTTTTTTTTTTGTAATGTGGGGGCACGTGCCATGCCGTGCTGTGCCTTGCCTTCATTGAACAATTCCTTCATCGGATAATTTCAGAAAGAAATACAGTTTCTGTTCCCATTGTTGATACCAAACAAAAGCTGCTTCGTACATAAGCTACGCAGTGGATGCACGCTACTTGCATAGGCTACACCATGCTAACTGGTTTGTCGGAGTATTCCTAAGTTATTTAAATGACTGTAGGAAACGCAAATTAATGGCAACAAACCATGAGCGTAATCCGCTTGTGTTGCAATACTTTTGACCCATACTGTATGGTCATATATGCCCCTTATATGTTGGACTGGTTAAATATATGGCCATTTTATATATGGTCTTATATGAAATTTTCACGTGGGTGGGAATGCCCAATCTAGAACTCCTTTCCTCTCTACTATGTGTTCAGCTGCTAGTGGCATTTACCCTTGTTTGTGTGTGTCTGTCCCAGTCCATGTTTTAAAAGGAAAGTATGATAGATATGATTTTGTCATTGTAACAGGTTTCTTAAAATCTGAATGTAATCATGAGCACCTGGGATGAAGTTCGCTCTTTGTTTCGCAAATGGAGAGAGGAAAGCAGAAGAAATTCCTCAGAAGTGGTGGATTTGTGGCAAAGTGTTCTTGAATCTCACTCACGCCATTTGGGAAATGAAAAGTGGGTTGTACTTGAGCAAGTTTGCATCGCAGCCCTGGACTGTGGGAGGATAGAGCTGGCAGATGATTGTCTGACCATCTTATCTGTACAGTTTCCTTCAAGTCTGAGAATTAGGAAATTGAGGGCCATGAAATTAGAGGCTCAAGAGAAATACACAGAAGCACTGGAGCTGTACAATACCATTATTGAACAAGATGATACAAATTCCTCAGCTCGGAAAAGAAAAGTAGCAGTATTGAAAGCTCAAGGCAAGAATACAGACGCCATCAGAGAATTGACTGAATATCTAAAGAAGTTTATGGGTGATCAAGAGGCTTGGATGGAGCTTTGTGAACTGTACCTGAAGGAATTTGATTATGGAAAAGCTGCATTCTGCATGGAAGAACTCCTCCTTCACAGTCCACATAATCATCTTTATCATCAGAAATATGCTGACATCAGGTACACAATGGGAGGAGTTGACAATTTAGAGATGGCTAGAGCCTACTACTCTCAGGCTCTGAAGTTACATAAGGAGAGTCTGAGGGCATTGTATGGCCTTATGCTCACTTGCTCTCAAATAGCTCATTCAACAAAAGTTCCAAGTGCCAAGAAGAAGGAATGTGCAAAATTGGCTGGTTGGGCTAGAGACCAGATTCAGCATATCCATGGACAAACAGTGTCAAAGTCAACAGATGTCTCTGCTGAGCAAGTGTCCAATCCTACACCCACATTAGAAGCATTGATGAGTTCTCTTTCAGTCAGCACTGGATCAACTTCCAGTTGAAAGTGATATTACTTAGTCTGATGATCTTGATGTAACTATTTCAAATAGCACTTGTATGTCTCAATGAAACATATAAATTGGTATAGTTGGTTTATATCATTCACTCCATTTGCAATATTAAATTTATTTTAATTTTATTTCCATTTCTCATTGAGGAGGAGAGACTCAATGTCCCTTTCAGTTGTCATAAATGTCTTGACTTTGCTCTTCTGGTGAGAAGACGGTTTTTCTCGCAACATCATATGGGATATGCATGAATAGCTAGAAAAATTAAGTGGGAGAGATGGTATTCAATGCCAAATACATGATAGACTTGTGTGAATATGCCTCTGGGGAATGTCTAATTTGAAGTGGATAAAATTTCTTCCTTGTATGGTAGTGCGAAATAATTTTTCTGTTTGCTATCTTTATATTTCCATTTAGGCTTTTCCTTTTTGTATGGCACTTTCAAAAGCAGTTTCATATACATTTTGGCAGGCCTTTTATTGGCATTTATGGAGAAGTACTTCAAAATTTACTCACATGGCTCCAGTTTCCTGCATACCATTAAATGCTTTCATCTAATTGCCAAACTTTAATCACAAATTGTATGGGAACAGTAATGTTTTCTAGCAGAGAGGTGTCTCATTAGTCTCCATTCAGGCTTATATGCAATGCTTCCACCCATATGCCTTATTTTGGGAATTGAAAGTCTCCAAGATTGAGGGAAAGATAGAAGAAATTCAATTTTCTAAATTATTATGCATAGTTATTCAAAGTGTTCCCATCCTTACTTGTCATTTTAATTGTATCTTCATGTTCATCACAATGGTTTAAGTTCTGCTTGTAAACCACAACTGCTGAATGCTGAGTTGTGTTGGTATAGTTACCCAATTATAATACTGCATTTCTCTTGCCTACAGTCCCTTAGAGATGAATATAACATTTTGTTTCTGCATGGCAAATTGGAGAATCCAGAGGTCTTTTTGAGAATGGTTGTAGATGTGTGAATTTATTTAGTGAATGGTGGTGGAAGAATGCGTTCCAGGATTGATTCTATGGCCAATTTCTCAAGTTCCTTATTGGTATGCATGGGATCAGAAAAGTCTGTGTTGTACCTGTGGGACGACATACTGCACTGCTGAATACATTGAAATTGTTGCATGGGAAAGATATTGTTTCATTTTTTAATGATTTGTTTCATCTACTGCACACACAAATAAAACTTAAATTTTGAATTGGAGTAGTTATTCTGTCCAAGTCAAATCTACTCTTAACTAAGTTATGTCAACTATGCAGTCTCCACTGGTTGGCTTAGAGAAGGCTTAATGAAGAATTATATTAACTATTTTCTTGGATGGCAGAGCTAATTTCCACCAATTTCAAGCTTTAAGATCCAACTATTTTTATTGTCAGTAAACATATTTTGTATGAAGCACTACCATGAGGAAGGAGCAAAAATCAATGCATAAAATTTTTCTTGAAAGCTTAAATTTTTATTCACAGAATTTCATGAGCTAATTATGATTTGCAGGATGTTCAGAAATTATCCTAACACTTCACTGCTTCCAGTTGTGTATTGCATATAGTGGTGGACATGTATAGTACTGACATGCTTCAGATTTATACCAGTCAACTTTGAAGAGCAGTTAAAGATGTGAACATAATTACATAACTTCTGAATACCCTGAAATTCTATGGGAGTAATGGCATGTAACTTGAAGTGTTCCATTGAAGGTGCTATGTGAACATGTGCTTGATGTCTCCTCAGCAAAACTTTGCTTTTTCCAACGCCTGACCTTTTGTCATGGTGAGACCAGGCATTGTTTTGTCTGCTCTGCTGTTGGCACTCATCTATACAAATGCCTACATTTCCTAATTCTGTATAAGGAGGAGCTGGTATCTCAGAAAGCTTACATCTGTCAGTTTCTGTGTTTTTTATTGCACACATGATTGAAGAAGAAAGTGCATGGCCATGACAGACTTTCTGAAGGAAACTACTAGAAATGCAGAAGAGACTGGCTACTCTACTTTGCCCATCACTGCTGGAAGGAAGTATTAGGTTGTCCCAAAAGTTTCTTTCGTAATTCGCGCAAATGGCGTTGCTAGGCAATAGAACAGCAGATAGTGCGTTCTGCCGGCTCTTTTTTTTTTTTTTTTCACGTTCACGTGTCTTTTCTCTTCCTGACAGTGTGTTTTGCTTGCGGATAAACCGCTTCATTATTTTCGTGTGCGTGCTGAAAAATGGATAGCCAGAGGAGACATTTTCGGCATGAGATATTGCACTGCTTCAAAAAAGGCATCGGGGCTGAGGAAACTGCAAGTGAGATTTGCTGCGTTTACGGGGACCATGCTGTGACTGTCCAGACCGTTTGCACTTGGTTCAGATGATTCAGAGTGTGTGACAAGCGTGACAGAGTACGAACGGTCTGGACAGTCACCGCATGGTCCCCGTAAACGCTGCAAATCTCGCTTGCAGTTTCCTCAGCCCCTATGCCTTTTTTGAAGCAGTGCAATATCACATGCCAAAAATGTCTCCTCTGGCTATCCATTTTTCAGCATGCACGCGAAAATAATGAAGCGGTTTATCTGCAAACAAAACACACTGTCAGGAAGAGAAAAGACACGTGAATGTGAAAAAAAAAAAAAAAGAGCCGGCAGAACGTACTATCTGCTGTTCTATTGCCTAGCAACACCATTCGTGCGAATTACGAAAGAAACTTTTGGGACAAACTAATACTTCGATCCTGAAATGCTTAATCAGGGAAGAGTTCATTACATCATGCGCACCATCAATAAGAGCAAGTGGACCTGGGTGGGCACCTAGCATGAATGGGAGTTGACCAATGGACAGAATTAGTTACTGTATCGCAGCAAAGAGAAGGAATATAAGGGGAAGACTCAAGGAAGGTTGGAGTAATGAAGTAAAAGGTTATAAAGGATTTAGCTCATAATAGGATGAAACTATGACTGCTATGGGAAAACCTTCATCCAGCAGTGAACAGAAATTGGATAATGATGACCATTGATGGATTCCAGTTGAGTGTTAGCTCAACCATAGTAAAAAAAAAAAGATTGGCTGGTGATGCATATAGGCAAAGTGTTGTCTTTCATATACCCCTTCTGAATCTTTGTTCAGCTTAAGTATAAGAATGAACGTGAAAGATTGAGACAGACTTTCAAATGGCCCTCAAAACTCTTTCAACATATTCTTGCTGTTTCTTGTTACCAATTCTTCTAGGTAATGTGGGTACATCACAGAACTGAAGTAATGGAATGGGTGTTCAAAGACATTTGCATCAATTTTTGCTTAATCAAGGATGTTTTGAGTGCAATTACAAAATTGGGTTTTACGTATGGAAGGCCTTATAGCTGAACTGACCTTAAATTTTTGGAACCGTGCATACATTTTTTTAAAGCTATCATCTAGTTTGACAGTGCTTTAATTAATACCCAGAAGCAGCTACTAGGTTTCCTAATTGTTGAGCAAATCATGGAATTATTTAGTCTGATTTTAAAACATGTAAAGTTCACATGATGCTTAAGGTCAGGATTTAGTCATAAACAATGTGGATAATGGAGATAATCTTTTGAATATGCTACATTAAAAATGCTCTTGTTTTGAAATAACAAATGTCTGGCTTGGTGCTAAGCATTTTTTAAATTGGAACCTTGGGAGGTAAGTGAGAGATCTGAGAGATCAAGTTGTGTTAATTCCATTCAAGACTCTAAGGAATGACTTCTTTACCAGAGGAGCAGTGAATGAACACTTGGTGGGGATGTTGCTGCCCCCTCTGTGACTATCTCACATTCACTGCCAAAGTCAGCTGTGGTTGATTTAAAAACTACTACTAAGAATGCCATCATCAACTTGGGGTCAATTTGAAATGTCATGTCTCCACTATGTGCCCATCTCTGGATGCCTTGTGGATTTTGTTCCAATGATTTATTAAACTAAAGCTGTGTAAAAATGTCCACTGTCCCAAAAAAGTTGCCAATCAAGTGATGTTCTCAGTTAAAAGGTCCAGCAGTGAAATTGTTTAAGAAGGAGTTAGATGCCTTCATGGAGAAAGTAGAAAAAGGAACCATGTAGTTGTAACTAGGCAATGGATATATTTTTGTGAAATATATCCATCTTTTGCTAGACAATTAGGCTTATTTTATATGAGTGCTTGACATTAATATTGATAGTTGTTATGAAAAGATGCCTCTTTACATCCATGCTCAAATCTTTAAGGCTTGAACCATGAACAGTGCTTGTTACCCTTGACCTTTTATTGACTTGCAGTTTTTTTTCCTCAAGGGTCTTTAATCATTAACATTTTTGATTGGTGGGGCAGTTGCAATGCATTTCAGGTTGCTACCAGTATGGGGCATTTTGTGATACTTATACTTGAGCTAGTGTACTCATATTGATTTCATAGAGGAACCATCCCCCATATCATTTATTGAAGGTAGAGCAACCATGACATTGCCTTAGAGTTCGTGAGAAAGAGATTTTGTTTTGCCATTTCCACAGTATTCTTCATTCAGCATGTACTGATGTAATAGTTTTATTTCAAGTAATTGAAGCATAATGTAAGCTTTGCAACCACAACTCTTCCTCCAACCTGTTGGTACCTTCTAATCCATCTTCATGGGGTAGTGTCATACTCAGTTGATGTCAGAAGGATGCCTATCTGTCCCCTACTGCTAAAGTTAGCAGAGTTCAGCTGGTTAACTCTGCATTACAAATCACAAATATGTACCCATAGCTGTGAGGCTGTCTGTCTTCAAAATTTTTAGCATGCACAGCATCAAATATAATGGAGAGTGGCTCTTTCATGAAACATTCACTTAATTAATTCTCACTCCTTTAATATATGTATCTTTGGTCAAGGTCACAAGAGCAATGATGTTGGTGTCAGATGTGAACTCTGAAGGTCTGCAAAAAGTAGGAAATTTTTCTCTTACTTTGGCCACATTTGTGGATGATCACATCCCTGTGAAAATTTACAAGAGTGAGAAGACTGGCTTGAGTGTTGCTTTAAGCCAGGCTGAGAGTCCTCTCGTTAAGGGATTTCTGTCTGTTGGTAAGACTACATGGTTCTTTGTCACCCCCTATGCAATCATGAATAATGATTGGACATTCTACAAATAGATAATATCTTTCAAATTCATTTTCAGTCACTGAAGCATCAGATGATGATGGCCTTCCACACACTCTGGAACACCTAACTTTCCTTGGTAGCAAGAAATATCCATACAAAGGTTTACTGGACCTGCTGGCTAATAGGTGCTTGGCATCAGGGACAAATGCTTGGACAGAAGTTGATCATACTGCTTACACCTATGCTACAGCTGGATCAGAGGGCTTCATAAACCTTTTACCAATCTACCTGGATCATTTGTTTGATCCTTCTTTGACGGTGAGAATCATGATGTCATGAACTTGATGTTCCTATCCTCTAAACTATAGATTCAACTCATTTGCCAACTTTCCATGCAGTCTTTGAAGCATTGTTTTGCCGAAGGATGTAAGAAATTCTTGAAGCAATATGACTTCTTCTGTAATCAATATGGCCTATTTTATTTAGGTAAAAATAAAAGTTCTTTGTGAGAATTTTTTGTCAAATGTGTACTACAAGCTATGGTTTAATTTCAGGTTTGTAATGTCTTTTAGTAATGAAAGCATTCAATACTGTGGCAATAAGGAATCATTTTCAAGTAATAAGTGTTACCATTGAAGAAAAGCAGGAAAACTTCTATGGCTTCTTAGGTAATGAACCAAAGGAGAAAGTTGTTGTTCACATTCCAAAAGCAAACAAGACTTGGGAAAGAATAAATAAATAAAATAAAATAAATCATTCCACGGCACCTGCCAGTATTGGAGATATGAGGGGGGATGAACCACATCCCAGACCTCATACTCGTCTTAATTCTGAAGGACACGGCGAAGGGTGCTGGCCGTCCCCAAGATAGCTGTACGCTGGAGGATATCGAGTGAGACTTCACACTCCAGCTTCCTGACATGTCCCTTGAGGTCTTTTAGGACGACGCCAGTTGTGCCGATGATGATCGGAACGACGGTGGTCTTCATCCCGCACAACTGTTCTACTTCCACTTTCAGTTCAGAGTATTTCTCCAGCTTCTCCCTGGTCTTCTCTTGGAGGTTATTATCGGCTGGGATGCTCACATCTACGAGGAGGGCGGTCTTCTTCTCCTTCTTATAGATCGTGAGGTCCGGCCTATTACAGCCTATGGAGCGGTCAGTAATTATGGGCACGTCCCAGAGTACCTTGGTAGAGGAGTTCTCCACTACAGACTGTGACTGGTGTTCGTACCAATTCTCTGGGACATCCAGGCCGGCTTGCTTGCAGACACACCAGTGCACATATTTGCACACCTGGTCGTGCCTGTTCAAATACTCCCTCGGGGCTAGTTCGGGGCAGGCACTAAGGAGGTGGTGAACCGTTTCGGGTGGCCCATGACAGCATCTGCAGCGATCTTCTCGTAGTTATGAGTTCTGGTGCACTGGTCCTGAATGGCCAGGATGTTTCTCTCTGTCTCGACATTCAACAGTCCCTTCTTCAGCCAGTTATAGCTGACGTCCGAGTCGATTGATGGTTTATCCATGATCTTGGGATGCTGGCCGTGAAGCGGTTTTTCCTTCCATCGCACCTCTCTTTGTACTTGGTCTGCCATCTTCACATTCTTCGTGTCGCAGTCGTCATCGAGATGGAGTGCATTTCGGAAGCGGGTGGCATCTCCCTGGATGGAGTGGGATTTCTTGAGGGCATCGTGCTTTCTATTGCATAAATATTACTGCAATATTTTCATAAGAATCTCATGACCAACAATTAACCTTAATAGCATTCTCAGTGTACCATCAAGCAATGACCACAAACAGCCAATTGGAGTTTCCTTTCCAAGTATCAGTAACAGCTTCAAGCCACTTTTTGTAGTTTCTGAAATGTTTTTTGACCCCACTTTCATGGAAGACATCTCAGACATGCTCAAATTGATTACGTCTGTGTCCTACCACACCTAAGTTTGAACATCAATACCAACTTCCTCCAATTTGGCCTTTGTCTGCCTGCAATTTTATGCTAGAATAAAATCATGCTGAAAAGTGGTTTTAGCAACATTATGAAAGTGTCTTTGCATGGTGGGAAAAATGTGATCCTCAATTAGTGAAATATATTGCCATGTTTTCACATCTTCCTTGCACAAGACCAAATCACTGACACTTTGTTGTTGATCATTCTCCGTATGATAATACTCTCATCCTTGAACTGACTGTCTTCTTCCAACATCGTTCTCGAAATCATTTTGCAGGTAACCTCCAAACCAGTCCCTGCTGATCAGAAATCAAGTTAATCTCTGACTTGTAGCTGAAAGCAACTCATCTTCAAAGAAAATTCTATGCCCATTCAAGTCTATATCATGGTAAAGAGTTGTTTCCAGACTGCTTGACATTTTCTAAAACTAGGTCCTTTAGTTACCAGCTGAAGAATTGGTTGAAGTGGGGATGGATTGACTTGGATGAGGCTTTTGAATGGGCTAAACATGCAGGGAAGAATAGTTGCTTTCAGTAATGAGTCACAGTACTGCCAGGTTTATGATCAGTGGGGACATTTTTTAAAACTCACATTAGGACAAGTTTATGAATACTGTTGGAAGAGGACAGCCAATTTAGGTGGTGGAGGCATTACAGTGTGGGAAATGATCAGCAACCAAGGTATCAGTCACTTAGTTTGGTGCAAGGAGGATGCAAAACATGGACATTATTGTCTACTGGTCAAGGATCACATTTTTTAACATGATTTCACTCCAGTGCACAATTTCCGGGTGTTCCAGGACCAAACTTAGAAGTTTTTCATTTCATGTCCGAGCCTGGGCATGTCAGGATAAGGATATGAATTTGACCAAGCACATCTTGGATGGTATTGGTGAAAGAGTGACCAAGAAACATTGTATGAACCATGAAAAGCAGCTTGCAATTGTTAGTAATACTTGAAATGAGACTCCAATTGACTGATTGTGATTATTGGTTGGTATTATGCTGAGACTTGGGAATTTCCCTTTGGAGGCTAAAGAGGATGCTATACCTGTTTGAGGCTGCTATATTATGGTCACTACTCTACTTTTATTGATTTTCATGGAAGTAATTATTAAATTTTATGTTCATGATGCTAATGTTTTTTTTTAGTAAACAGCTTCAGCAGTATAGCCATATCTGTTAACCAAAATATGCCTGGCATTCTATATATAAGATGGTGTGCAGAGATGTGCATGAAAAATTCCCTGCTGTAGTTCATTGTTGATCAGTAGATGGCACTAGTGGCACACAATGTCCCAGTAGTTCTTCAGTCTGTGGCTAGCCACTGATCAGGTTTCCTTTCATTCAAACAGCTGACTAAGACGTCAAAGTTTATAGTACCTTGACGATGGTGACAATATAGTGCTAGTGTCCCCAAAAAGGTACATTGTTCTGAATCATGTAAAGAGCCATACAACATGTCAACTTCAATGAAACTATTAGGTTGTTTCACATGAAATGTCCGATTTTTCTCTATACAGGCAGTCCTCGACTTATGACATTCCGACTTACGACACTTTGACTTAGGACGCTCTAAGCCTAGGGCTGAAGGAGTCATTGACATGTAGGCCTGAGGCCTCCCCCGTATTACCGTCATATGTC